TGGCCAGCGGCAGGATGGTGAACCGCTTTCCGCACACCTTGACGGTACGCTCCCCTGCCCAGACCCCCCTGCTATTCTGCCCGCTGACCCCACACCCACTGAGCGTGAGGCTTCTGCTGCCATTGCCCGTGCGCGCTCTGTCTGGCTTTCTCGCGATGCTGTTGCCCAGCTTGCCATTAGCAACGCCCTTCCCCCATCCGAGCGTCCTCGCTTTAGGTCCCTCATTACTGCTCAGGCATACTTAGATGCTGTGATCAAGCGCTATTCCACCCCTCCGGCTGCCTCGGTGGGTCGCCTGATCCTTCCGATGCTCTTTCCTGACCTTGCATCTTTCCCCACTGTCTCTGACCTCGCTGCCCACCTGCGCTCGATAGATGAGACCTGGCGCGCTGCCTGCACTGACACACAGCTTAGAGCCCACCAGCCGCCCATTACCTCTACCCTCTACCTGCTTGCCACCCGCCTCCCTGACCGCCTTGCTGTCGCCCGCGACCGCTTTCTTAGCGTTCACCCCGCAGACCTCACCCTCACTGACTTTGTAGACACCCTGACTGTGATAGAGACCTGTCACCGCTCCATCGCCCAGGCGAGCGGTGTCGTGCCGGTCCCTATCTTTCAGGGTTGTGCCCCCGCTCAGTGCACCTTCTCCGACGGCTCTGCCGTAGTGGCTGAGACTGCTGCTGCAGCGCAGGTCCGTTCGGGGAAGGGCCGCCGCCCCAAGGCTGGGCGCGGCGGAGGAGGCGGCGGGGGTGCGGGCGGGGGTAGTGGTGGGGTCGGGTCGCCTGGTGCTGGAGTGGACGAGGGGACCCTGCCCAGTTCAGCTGAGTCGCCGCCCCTGCAGGTGCAGCAGCCGCAGCAGCCGCCGCAGTCGCAGCCTTCGCAGCAGCCGCAGCAGCCGTCGCAGACGCGGCAGACGAGTGTCCTCCCGCCAGGGTGGCCCGGCGCTGGCGGTGGCCGGGCGCGTGGTGGTGTGCCGCGTGGTGGCTCTGGCGGCGGGCGTTGTCAGTACCAGATCCAGACCGGTCCTCGCCGCGGCTTCGTTTGCGGTAAGATCGGTCACTCCACTCCCCGCTGTTTTCGTCGCCTGGACGACCTCTTTCGTCAGCGCTTCGGCCCGTCGCCAGACCTCCCGGACTGGCACAGTTTGCTTAGTCGTCAGATTCAGATTTTTGATATGGACATGGATGCCATTGTTTCTGCTCTGCATGTGATGTATGCTGATGACTCTAGTGTGCTTCCCGCTTATTACTCACTGTTGCCTAGTGTATGTGTTCCTAGCTTAGCCTCCCCTGCTGCGTCAGGCGTAGGATCCCCTGCTTTGTGTAGTCTTGGTGCTTCCGCCGTCGTTCCGTCGCCAGACCCCTCGGCTTCGCTTTCCTTCACCTTGGACTCTGGCGCCTCTCGGTGTTTCTTCCGCGACTCCACCACCCTGACGCCGCTTCCTGTTCCTGCTGCCGTTTCTCTTGCTGACCCCTCCGGCGGTCCGGTAGTCGCCCGCAGTTCCACCACCCTTCCCTGTCCGGCGGTTCCTTCGGGTTCTCTTACAGGTCTGCATATCCCCTCGTTCTCCAGGAACCTAGTTGGTGTCGGCTGCCTCCAGGACCTTGGCGTCACCACTACGTTCCCTGGTCACGAGCGGTATGCTGTCTGTACCGAGGCCGCCACTGGTGCCCCCCTGTCCACGTTCCCCCGGGACCCGATGTCCGGCCTGTTCACTCTGGACACCGTGACCCCCCCGGCTGGAGCGCCCCCTCAGGTGGCTGCGTCTACCCAGGTTGCTGCTGCCTGCTCCTGTCGCTCCCTCACTCACCCGACCCTCCTGTGGCACCACCGCCTAGGTCACCCTGCGCTCCCGCGTCTGCGTCACATGTCTCAGCACGGTCTCGTCCTTGGTCTCCCAGGTTCGCTCCCCGCGTTTCCCTCCTCTCCAGCCCCACCTTGCACGCCTTGTGTCGAGGGTCGGCTTCGCCGTGCCCCTCACTCCTCCTCGTTTCCCCCTACCGCCGCGCCGCTGCAGACCCTGCACCTGGACGTCTGGGGCCCCGCCCCCGTCCCTGGGCCGCGTCGCGAGCGCTACTTCCTTGTGCTTGTCGACGAATTCACTCGTTACACCACAGTCTTTCCCCTGGAGCGCAAGGCCGACGTGCCTGGCGCTCTCATCCCCTGGCTTGTCTCTGCGCGTGTCCACCGCGGTCTCCCTGTCTTGCGTCTTCACTCAGACCGTGGTGGCGAGTTTGCCTCCGGTGTCCTTGGTCGCTTTTGTCGTGCGGAGGGCATCACCCAGACGTTCACCCTACCGGACTCCCCACAGCAGAATGGGGTCGCTGAGCGACGCATCAGTTTGGTCATGGAGGTCGCTCGCACCTCCATGGTCCATGCCGGTGCACCCCATTTTCTGTGGCCGTTCGCTGTGTGCTACGCTTCTCACCAGCTTAACCTGTGGCCGCACCCTCAGCAGCCGACCCCTCGCACTTACGCTGAGGCGACTTCGGGACCCTGGGCCTCACAGTGGATAGCTGCCATGGAGCAGGAGATGGCATCTTGGAGATCCACCGGCACCTTCGTCGACGCAGTTCCCCCACTTGGGGTGAACGTAGTCGATGGCCGCTGGCTCTTCAAGGTGAAGCGCCCTCCTGGAGAGCCGCCTGTCTTCAAGGCGCGCTATGTGGCTAGAGGCTTCAGTCAGCGCGAGGGGGTGGACTTCTTCCAGACTTTCGCTCCGACCCCGAAGATGACTACACTTCGGGTTCTGTTACACCTAGCTGCTCAGCGTGACTACGAGCTTCACTCCCTCGACTTCTCCACTGCCTTCCTTCAGGGCAGCCTACACGAGCAGGTCTACCTGCGTCGCCCTCCGGGCTTTACTGGCACCTTCCCTCCTGGGACCCAGTGGCTCCTGCGGCGCCCCGTCTACGGCCTGCGCCAGGCTCCCCGTGAGTGGCACGACAGTCTTCGTGCTACCCTTGCTGACCTGCAGTTCTTTCCGTCTTCCGCAGACCCTTCACTCTTTGTTCGTGCTGGCCAAACTCCGTTCTACATCCTTGTTTACGTCGACGACCTGGTCTTTGCCACGGCAGACAGGGACGCACTGGCCTCCGTGAAGGCAGAGCTGCAGAAGAGACACACCTGCACTGACCTTGGAGAACTGCGCCGTTACCTTGGCTTGCAGATCTCCAGGGACAGAGCTGCGCGCACCATCACCCTGACTCGGTCACACTTGGTGCGCCAGGTCCTTTAGAGGTTCAGCCTTCAGTTCTCCTCTGCACAGCCCACCCCTCTGCCTGTAGACCACAGACTCTCCGCTCCAGTACCTGAGGAGGTGGTAGAGCCCAGCGGCCCCTACGCAGAGCTGGTGGGTTGCCTCATGTACCTGATGACTTGCACTCGCCCACATCTCGCATACCCTCTCAGCATCCTGGCGCGCTTTGTGGCCACAGGCAGACACCGACCGCAGCACTGGTCTGCCGCTAAGAGGGTTCTGCGTTATCTTGCTAGTACATCGGGCATGGGGTTAGTGCTTGGAGGACGTAGGCCAGTGGTCCTTACTGGACACACAGACGCTTCGTGGGCAAACGACGCTGAGACACTCAGGTCTACCCAGGGCTACTGCTTTAGCCTTGGCTCAGGTGCCGTCTCGTGGAGAGCTACTCGCTCCTCGTCTGTTGCACAGTCCAGCTGTGAGGCTGAGATCTACGCTGGTGCCATGGCGGCACAGGAGCTCCGCTGGCTGACCTTCTTGCTCACTGACTTAGGTGAGCGGCCTAGCTCTGCCCCGGTCCTGTTCGCTGACAACAGGGCCATGATCCTCCTGTGTCAGGAGCCTCGACTCGAGGGCAGAGCGAAGCACATTCAGCTGCGGTACTTCCTCCTGCGTGAGCAACAGCAGCGACATCAGGCTCGCGTAGTACACTTGGCCTCAGGTGCCAACACAGCTGATATCTTTACGAAGGCGCTTGCGCCTAAAGATCATCAGCGGCACTGTGTACAGCTTGGTCTAGTTCCTGTCGCTTCTCACTTGCTAGGACCTTGACTTGTACTGTCCTTTATATGTATACTCAGACTGGACTTGTGTCCTCTCCCAGTGGCTGGACTAGTAGTGCCGCCCTGGTCTTGTTCTTGCCTTGTCTGTACTCCTTCTGACTGGTCTCTCAGACCCTTGTCTCAGAGGTTGGACTAGTAGTGCCGCCCTGAGCTGCTTGTTTAGGGTATTCCCCTATGCAGTCTAGGGGGTGTGTCAAACATCTGTATTTGTCATGTTTGTATAGACTGTATAGGGTTACCTCTTAGAGGGTACAACACTTAGGTATATTTGTGTGTACTCTCACTTTCAATTCAATTCCAATTCTGATATATAGCACGCTAGAGTGATTATGTGACATGGCATGTCTGGGCACCGAGTTGGTGTCCAGCTTTAAAATAAATCAATAACGTATATGTGATGTTCGGAACGTGATATACATTTATGCATGCCAATCCAATATTGCTGCTTTTGTTATAATACCAAAATTGTTAATGTGTCGTAGTGAACCCGAATAAGTATCAACACTACAGAAGGACGAGATGACTGGTACTAAAACTTCGCGTTCACAAAAACGAATCGTCCCTGTCCTCGAGCCGTGGTTGGCTCTTGGCAATCCCTGACTGCTATTGGCTAGTTCTGTTCTGTACAATTTGGGCGAAGCGCCGCGCACACAACGCCACGCCAACACACCGACCTAACTGACCGCGGTTGCCTGCCTGCGTGTACTTTTCCGCTTTTCTAGTCACCGCCAGTGACACGCAAGCATTCTCCGCTACCTCCCAGAATCTCGCACCAAATACCGTTTGACTGACATGCCCAACCGTCCCAACGTGTCAACAGATCATAGGCTTCCGCCACAGATTCTCGCGCAAAACTCAAGGTCGAGGGCAGGACATTATGGCAACAAACGACCAGTCGCCCTGCACGGAACTTCCAGGACCCTCCAGGCTGCCATGGCTGTTGTGTTGTTGCCAGGGCCGGGCGGACCCCCTTCGCTTGCACCTGTCCCTGCCTTGGGGCTTGGCCAGCAATCCTCTAGGCAGCATCTTGGTTTGGCTTGGTTGGTTGGAAGGGATGCACGCATTGGCTGCTCCAGTCTGAGGGTAGAAAGCGGCACGGCGGCGAAAAGTAGCTGCCATTCTCATTCCTCCGTTTTCTCTCTGGCTTTCTCACTACTGTCGGTACTTCGTCATAGCCTGTGCAGCCAGCTACTCCCATTGCTCTCCGAATCGATCCCTGCGGCCGCTGCTTTCGTTCCCCACCCCACGGCTGCCATGGTTTTCGTGGCAATCAGCAGCGCCGCTGTTGAAACCGGCACCGTACCCCGTGACTGTTTTTCGGGTCCCTCAGGCCAGACCACTAGGAGCGTGGAGCCACGCTCGAAAGGCTCGATTCACAGGAATAGCATCTCGCTGAAGAGCCAGTACTGGGGTTCTAGGACCGCGTTGAGGGCAAACGATGGGTCCTTTTGCCGCTCCCCTGTTGTGCGAGCTGGATCGAGGCAAAGCGGCGATATTCTTCGCTGGAGGTACATTCCGAGTCCCGCCCCCTTTTGACATTCCGATCTTTCTTGCTTCCGAAGAATAGAACTGTGCGAGCTGTTGTTGGTTCTCCTTTCGAGTCGACTTAGCTTTTGAGTCGACTCAAGAGCTGTTGTTGGTTCTCGCTCTTCCTCCTTTCCTGCTCCCTGATCAAGGACCAGCACATCCTGATCCCTCTGGCTGCGCTGCACTTTGTTCCACGTCGACCACTTTCCACCACCAATTACGCACTCCTGCCTTCTTGCTCGCTTCGTGCTTCCGCCATCTCTCATTGCTCCTCACATCCGCTCCTGTCTTCCTCCCACAGATGTGAGGCAAGCACTGGAAGCACGAAGCCAGAAATTGCGCAGAAAGAAGGCCAGGAGCAAGCCGCAGAGCCCGCATCCAACGGCTCGGCATACTCCGCTCCGGCCAAACCCAAACTGATTGCATACGACTACGGCTTTCAGGTACTCGGGCAAGGAATATGAGTAACAGTTAACATTCTGTGACGAAATTCGCGACAATTCGTGCTCGAGCTGGCGAAGGATCTCACGACGAGCTAAGCTTTCCTCTTGCGATTGCCGTTCGACTGAGGTGACGGCCATTTCTCAGGCAACTCTTGTCGTTTCCGTCGATTTCTGTCGTCGCCTAAGCGGTTTCCTTCGTGCCTCATCGCGTCGTTCCCCTCCACACGCTCGCCTCGTTATTTCACTCAGCTTCTTCTGCGCTTCTCGTCGCCTTACTGCGAAGCCGGTGTTTTCTTCCCGCGCTGTTTCCTTCCGTTCCGGCTGTCGCAATCCAAGTTTCGGGAGAATCTCTGCACAGGCCTCAACGCCCCTTCCAGCAATTAATACCCGCCTTCGAGATTCTGCTTTTGACTTGACTAATACTGATGTTTCCCTTCCCCTTGCCCTCCGCCTCTCTGCTCTCCGCCTGTCTGCCGCAGTCCAAGTTCCTCCGCACGGGGCCCAATGTCCCGTCCAACGTCTTCAAGCTCGCCTTGGAGAATTTCGCCCGCGAGTACGCGGTAAGTGCGCCACACGGTTCGTTACCTCCTGAGTTGTTCTTCGACGCGCATCTCGATGATCCTTTGACTAACGTGGTGCCAAGGGTCTGCCGAGACGAGATTCACGAAGAAACTTCGTCTTTCTGCCCGTGATCCCGTTTCGCATACCTCTCTTGAGGCACCGTCCTCCAACTCTCAAGTGTCGCTTTTTTCCCCGAGGTGACTTTTGAGTCGACTCAAAAGTCACCTCGTAAAGTCGTTTCGCATGTCTCTCTCGAGGCACCCTCCTCCAACTCTCAAGTGTCGCTTTTTTCCCCGTCTCGCGGGTTCCTTCGCCTCCTCGTTTCTTCGTGAATCTCGTCTCGGCAGGCCCTTCGCACCAACGTTCTGTACGAGCCACTCAGCGACGTGCGAAGTAAGTCCCCTGGAGAACTGTTTGTCCCCCCAGAGTGGGTCGTCGTATCCCCCCCCCCCTAACGACGTTTGAGGCGCCTCAGAAGTCGCGTGCAGGCCCTTCGAACCGACGTTCTGTACGAGCCACTCAGCCATGTTTGTGGTAAACACACACATGTCATGCAAGCACTCCGCTCCGCTCCGCTCCGCTCCGCTCCGCTCCGCACAGGTCCGCTCCGCTCCGCACAGGTCTATATTCCCCCGTTTGCGTTCCCCATTGCATGCAGCTGTTGAGTGCAGGTCTTATTGGTATAATCGAGTGCTCGGTCAATGCCGTTTAGTGGTCCAGTTTCCCGTTTGCGGCTCCCAGTCTGAAGTGCTTTCCCCCGTCGTTCGCCCGTCCCTTCCTCGTCTCCCCCCTGAAACTAGCTCCTCCAATCTTACCCCGCCTCTCCTCCAGTTTTGAGGCGCCTCAAAACTAGACTCCTCGTCTTCCCCCTGAAACTAGCTACTCCAATCTTACCCCGCCTCTCCTCCAGTTTTGAGGCGCCTCAAAACTAGACTCCTCGTCTTCCCCCTGAAACTAGCTCCTCCAATCTTACCCCGCCTCTCCTCCCCTTCTTCCCCTTCTTCCCATTTCTCCGCTCCCTTACCGTCCAGCCGACAACATCAAGAGAGACGGAAGGCAGCTCGTGCTGGCATACGCCGGGCGCTTCCTCGTCTCCACGCTCAAGTTCTTCGACAAAGTGCTCACGCTCTACGACGGCCTTCCCGAGATCAAGCCCCCTGTTGCTGTAAGTACAAGCGAAGGTTCTTTCCACACATCGTCAGGCATCTTCCCACGTCCCTGCTGCTTCCTCGTCTCCACGCTCAAGTTCTTCGACTAAGTGCTCACACTCTACAACGGCCTTCCCAAGATCAAGCCCCCTGCTGCTGTAAGTGCAAGCAAAGGAGCCGTCAGTTCACTCATAACGCATCCCGGCCGGCACATGCCAGTCTGTAGCCTTGTCTTCTCCCCTCTCAGCGCCTGCACTGCAGTAGCAGGCGCTGAGAGTCTCTTAGAATTCGCAAAACACCCTGCGTTTCTGAAAAACACCGTGCAGTTCTCAAAGACACCCTGCAATTCTTAAAATAACCCTGAAATTTTCTAAAGCACCTTGTCTCCACTCTCAGCTGCAGTAGCAGCAGCAGCAGCAGGCGCTGAGTGGCGTCATGGTCCGGTCAGCTCATGATCTTTGAGGAGAGAGAGGAGTTGTGGCGGCTGTTGCAGCAGCTGGTCGTGATTTTCTGGGATTCTAAGAAATCACCTACATCAAGTAGAGCCATGGTCAAGTCAGCCCATGATCCCTGAGGCAAGAGAGGAGCTGCGGCGGCTGATGCAGCAGCTGACGCTGAGCCAAGTTTTGAGTTGCCCTTTCAGAGCATCTACTCCTCTCTCATGCCGTGTGGGTACTGTAACAGATGCCAGAAGAGAGCGAGGAGCTGCGGGGGCGCCTGCAGCAGCTGGCGCTGAGCACCGAGGCAGCTGAGTGGACCCATCATTCACCTGGTTACTATTTTCCCTTTCATTTCCTCCCCGTGGTGCTAACAGATGCCAGAGGCGAGCCAGGAGCTGAGGCGTCGCCTGCAGCAGCTGACGCTGAGCAACGAGGCGGTGGCTCAGCGGGAGAAGGACCGGCCGCAGGTGGAGGCGCCTGGATGGATCCTACTGCCGTATCAGCTGCTGTGCTGGGTGAGTGCAGCTAAGTCCTGTGGGCTTTGCTGGGTGAGCCGGTTGCAGGCAGATGGACAGACCACCAGAGGCGTCCAGGTGGATCCTCCTCCTGCGAGATTCCTTGCTGGGTGAGCTGGTTGTGGTCGGTTGGATGGACAGACCACCAGAAAGGAGGCGCCCAGGTGGATCCTCCCCACCAAATTCCTTGCTGGGTGAGCTGGTTGCGGTCGGACGGTGATTCGTGCTGTGCTGCTCTTCCCCTGGATGCTTGACGACATCTTCAACAAGTGCTCCATCCAGCGACTCAGGTTTTTGAGTGGACTCAAAAGCAGGTTTTGTTCTCTTCCTTTCTCTCCTTCCACTGTTAAGTTCTCCGCTCTATAACTCCAACTCTCCCCCCCCTCCTCCGCATTCCCATGCCTCTGCTCAGATGCTTGACGTCATCTTCAACAACCGGCCCATCCAACGGTTCTGGTTCCTCGAGACTGTTGCGCGCATGCCGTACTTCTCGTAAGTACCTGCCAGGTGTGCCGTGTCCCCTGCCATGTGTGCCGCGTCCCCTGCCATGTGTGCCGCGTCCCCTGCCATGTGTGCCGCGTCCCCTGCCGAGTATGCCGTGTCCCCTGCCATGTGTAATCCACTTCCCTTGCTCTAAACACGCCAGCCATTGCTATGTTCTTCCACTTACAACAGCACCTGTTTTACCCGTTCCGCATGTAATTAGACGGCTTTCGAGGTGCTTCGAATGTCGTGCCTTAAGTACTCTGAACTGTTCTCCATTTTCTGTGCACTAATCGGTCATTCATGGTGACTTTTGAGTCGACTCAAGAGTCAAAAGTCACCTTTTGAGTCGACTCAAAAGTCACCTCTGAACTGTTCTCCAATTGTTGTGCACTAATCGGTCCTTCATCTGGTCCTTCATCTGGTCCTTCATCTGGTCCTTCATGTGGCCCTCTTTCCGTTCCCCTGTGCCAATTTTAACCCTCCCCTGCAGCTACATCTCCATGCTCCATCTCTACGAGACCCTTGGATGGTGAGTAGATATTGCAATGAACTGGTTCCTTACTCATTCTGGTCCATTTCCCTTCGCTCGACAACGCTCCTTTCATTCCTCATCTAGTCATCTCTCTCATGCTCCTGCTACCCGCTCCCATATCCCCTCCATCCCGATCCCCAAACCTCAGGTGGAGGGTCGGAGCTGAGGTTCGGAAGGTGCACTTTGCGGAGGAGTGGAACGAGATGAACCACCTCAGGATCATGGAGTCGCTGGGTGGAGACCGCCTCTGGGTGGACCGCTTTTTTGCGCAGCACGCTGCGGTGCTCTACTACTGGGTGCTCAACGCCATGTTCCTCATCTCGCCGCGCGTCGCGTACAACTTCTCGGAGCTCATTGAGGCGCACGCGGTGGACACGTATGGGGAGTTCGTGGATGCGAATGCGGAGCTGCTGAAAACGCTGCCGCCGTCACCAGCTGCCATGGCTTACTACTGCAATGACGATCTCTACATGTGAGTTGAGAGCATGGTCTTTACACAGGAGTGGTTCCACGTGTGTGAAAGACCACGTGTGGGAGCACGTGATCAATCAAGGCGTAAGTGGTGGGCTCGAGACGCTGCCGTCATCGCCTGCTGTTGTGGGTTGCTACTGCAATGACGACCTCTACATGCGAGTATTCCCTGGGTGGTGTCCTCCTCTGGCCGTTCGTTGTGAATTCTGTAGTTGCTTCATTGGTGGTTGAATGATGTCAAATTGATCTCTCGCTCTCCAAAGATCAGATTTTATCCTCTCACAAGAATCATCTCTTCCCCTCCGTTGTTGCTGCTGTCCAGGTTCGACGAATTTCAGACATCAAGAGTCCCTGAATCCCGGCGGCCCAAGATTGAGAGCCTCTACGATGTCTTCTGTGCTATCAGGGTGCGTGGTCAACACATTCCATCGCTCATCCCCACTTCTTTCACTATTGAAGTCGGTTTTCTATCAGCTTAATCATGCCATGTGTGACGCCCCTCACACCTCTCACGTTTGCTTGCTTCCTCCCACTTGCTCAATCCGCAACCTTAACGTCCCTGAATTGCTCCTTGCAATCGCTCCCTCCCCCACCCATCTCCTCCCCTCACCGCCTCTCCCTACTCCCCCCCCACCCCCTGCCAGGACGATGAGATGGAGCATGTGAAGACAATGTCTGCCTGCCAGCAGCTTGACTCCGTTGTGCGATCTCCTAATCGCCCAGGCTACGCCCCTCTGCCCTCTCCCGCTGACGTGTACTTCGAAGGCCTGGTTGCCAAGCCTTCGTCCTCGGCATCTGCTTCGCCAGCTGGCTCTGCATCCCCCTCTGCAGCAGCGTCAGCGGCGTTCAGTGCAGCTGTCGGGGAATCAAACTTGCCCAAGGATGTTCTTCCTCAGGCGCTTCAATCGAAAGGCGATTCGCTCAAGTGATTTTCAATTTGGGCCCCTTTTTTGTTGGACAATGCAGATGCGGGTGTACATGTACATAGCCGGTTTTCTCAGGGTGTGCGTTTATTGTCGCTTCTACCAGCGTGTCTATAGTTATGGTTTGATTCGCTATGATGGTGTGCTGGGTGACTACGCTCCTGCCATCCGTGGAATTGCTGTCATCTACGTACGCCATGAAGAGGCAGAGGGTGTGGCACATGTCTTAAAACAAGAAAGAAGAAGGCCGCCATGGAATGGCGTTCGAGGTATAGCTAGGAAGATTGACGAGAGAGAAGTGAGGGTTGATTAGGAAGAGGGAGGGGTACAAGGAGGGGATTGTACCCTCTACAGTAAGGTTCAGTAACAACTACCAAGCCTATCAATTATATATAACATAATTTTAACACACCCCCTAGGCTTGGTAGTCACACACCCCCACACCCCCTAACCTAGAACCCCCTCTCCCAGCAGCCACTACTACTCCAGCAGGGCCAACCCCAAGGCCCTGGAGCTGGCGACGGCGGCCGTCCCGGCAGCGGCGACAGCAACGGCGACGATGGGTGTGCGGCGGCAAAAGCCCTGCGGCGACTACAGCGGCGACGGCGAGGGCTTGTCCAAACTCCGCACAAGGGGAACGACCGGCGAGTGCCAGGCGGCGGCTGGGGCGAAGAGGGGGGGACAGAGGAAAGGGGGAAGGGGCGGGGCTTCGGATTCTTCAGCGCGGCGCCATTGCTGGCGCCACGCTTACTGGCGTGCGGGCGGGCTGCTTTTCCAGCAGCGACGCAGGTCGTGCGCGTCGGCACCAGCCCGACGACGCAGCCACGGCACCACGACGGCGCCACCACAGCGTGGCGTCGTCGCCGCAGCTGCTCGTCGACGCTGAGACGACGGCACTAAAAGGCCGCCGCGGCATCACGGAAAATATGCCACGGCGACAGGCAGGCGGAAAGCCGCAACGGCGGCGAAGTAACGACAGAAACGCAGCGGAAGCGTAATGAGCAGGCCCGGGACGGGCGGCCTGCTCTGTTACCATGTCTTAAATCTAGTTAACAAGAAAGAAGAAGGCCGCCATGGAATGGCGTCCGAGGTTTAGCTAGGAAGATTGACGAGATAGAAGAGAGGGTCGATAGAGAAGAGGGTCGATTAGGAAGAGAGAGGGGTACAAGGAGGGGATTGTACCCTCTACAGTAAGGTTCAGTAACAACTACCAAGCCTATCAATTATATATAACTCATATTAATTTTAACAGCACACTCCCCCATAACGGTTGAGAAGATTGTCTACTGGCACTCTCCCGCGATCGGTGGCATCGCTGAATGGAGTTTTGACCATGCATTATGGATGTTAGCTTCCTGCATATATTTGTACGCATCGTGATCAACCTAAAATTTGTACGCATCGTAATCACCAAATCCGTAAGGAATACACACCTTTTGTACAGCATTGATTGCATCCACACGTTTTGTAGCGGATGGTAGCTGTCCCACACATTTCTCTCACACTGTACAGTACTTCCATTATCAGATGCATATCATTGTCATGACGAGTACGGACTGAATCGGACATAAACGGAGATCTAGGGAAAGATGGTTGGTGGTTGGTCGGCTCAGCAGTTGTTGTGGTTTCTTCAGTGCCCACCGTAAGTGCAAAACAAGCAGTTACTCGTTTCTCGGTTGAGCTCGGTTTGCTACATTTGACGCTGGTTATGTGAAGCACACTGACAAACTCTCAGTTTGGCAACCTAGGGGTTGCCGTGATTCGAACGCTTTGAATTCAACCAAACCACCGAGGTCCGAGCCGAAGCCCGAACGAAACCCGTTCGGGCTTCTCCTTTCACCTACTTCTCGAACTGCCAAGCCAAGGTCCGAGCTTCCGCGCGCCGCCTTTGCCGCTGGTCTAACCTCTTTCATGTCTACTGTAGCTCAGTTGCCAAGCTTGTTAGTACACTTGTTTTAAGTTAAAGAAGAAGGATTTTTTCACTGCCAAACAGAACATTAACCCGGAAAACGCACAATAACTCCCGGGCAAAATGTTACATTTCGGCCTGGTACATTTCGGACTTTGGGGGTCGATGCGGTTCAGCTCGGTACCTGGTTGTTGGGACTGAACGTAGGGGGAAATGAGCATGCGAGAATTGCAATTCAGACCCTATGGGCGACAAGATCAGGCGAGAATTGCAATCTGGACTGTTCGTCCGAAGACCATAGCGTGGAACAGGTGTAGGTGCAGCCAGGCAAGGGTTTGTTGGTTCTTCCTTCGCGTCGCTGTGAGTCCAACCTTTCAACTCACCACCAGAGTCCGAATTCACCAACGAGCCCTCCTCTCTCCCTCCCATCGTGCTCCGAAGCGCCTTTTCAACTCACCACCACCGGAGTCCGAAGTCGATCTGAGCTTGTTGCGTTTCGAGCCTCCGAGGCGGAGTTGGACACGCGATCCGAAAGTCAGGAGAACCTTAGACTCCCGACTCGGAGCTCGGTCCGCCATGGCTCGGTCCGCGTCTGCTCGCTTTAGAAGCAGCCATCCTCCCGTCATCTACGCACCGATAGCGTTCGTTCCCGCCTCCATAGCAGAAAGAAGAGTCTTTCCCATCATTATTCGTCATCCACCGGCAGCGAGGAGTCTATTTTTTAGGCGCCTCAAAAATTATTCGTCATCCACCGGCAGCGATTCTTTCAACCCACCCTGCGTTGAAACTCTCACCATTGCGTCCTACGTCTCCGTCGTCCGGCCTCTCATTCTCCTCGCCTCCGTCCACGCGCTTCTTCCGCAGTCGGCCCATAATCTAGCTGAGTAGCTACTAGCACGCACGTGGAGTGCACGTTCCCTTGATCATGGCAGCGTACCGAATGAGCAGTAAGCCACCGTCATCGACCACCCCTCTCCTCCTTCTCGTGCTCCTCAATGCGACCCTCCTCTCCCACCACCTCGCATCGGCCGCCGGTCGCGGGGTCGCTGGCGATGAATCATCCGTCGCAGAGGCGTCGCCCAGGCGACAGTTGGTCGGCCCTGTGGTGTCGCACGGCCAGCAGCACCACCGGCAGCTGCGAAACCAGCTGGGCGGCAACGTGTCGCGTGAGTAGGATAAGAACGCGGCAACGTGTCGCGTGAGTAGGATAAGAACGCGGATCTGATCGGGGGCCCGGTTTCTCCTAAATGATCGCGACTTGGTCCCCTTTTTTCGTTTGAGTCACTTTTGACTCAAAAGTCGCCTTGATCGTGACTTGGGCCCCTTTTTTCTCCTTAAAAAAAATCGTGACCTCTCGACTCAATCGTTCTTCTCGCTTTCTCCCCTTCTCATGCCCGCACCCTCCAACTCCAGCGCTGTCGCTGACTGAGCCCTCTGTTCCCCCCTGCCCCTCCCCTACCGGCTGCACCTGCCCCTTCCCACCGTCCTCTCCTCCTTCCTGCCTCTCACTTTCTCACCTTGTAACTTGTGCCCGATCAACCCCATCCCCAGCCGCTGCCAGCGTGCCCTGCTCCCTCGGTTACCGCGCTAACGGCTACTCCCGCTGTTTTGCCCACCCCTTCCTCCCACCCCTTCCTCCCACCCCTTCCTCCCACCCCAACCCCCCTCCCCCCTCTATCCCAGCCGCCGCCAAAGGCCCCTGCGCCCTCGTGTCGTGCCCCAAGGGCTGCTCGTGCTCCGCTTCCTCTGGCGTCGCCAAGTGCAAGTGCTCAGGTGATTACAACAACGCCCAGGTGATTACAACAACGCCCAGGTGATTACAACAACGCCCAGGTGATTACAACAACGCCCAGGTGAGTACATCACTACTCAGGTGCTGACACCACTTGCCAGGTGCTTCCTCGAGTGTTCAGGTGCATCTTTCGCCTGCGTTCTCCTCGTTCTTGCGCCCACCCCCCCTCCCCCGTGTCGCTCCCAGACCCATGTTATGCAATCAAATGTCCGAACCTGTGCAAAGTGTACGGTGCAGAACGGTGCAGTGGTGTGCAAATGCTCAGATGGCTCCATCTCTCCCCCCGTCTTTTCCCTCCCTTGTTTCCCGCGCCAGACCCTTGTTACGGCGTCAAATGCCCCGACGTGTCCAAGTGTGCGGTGCAGGAGGGTGCAGTGGTGTGCAAATGTCCGCCTCCCTTCAAGCGCCTGATAAACAACAAGTGCTCCTCCGCTTCGCGCCCCCACTCGGACTATCTCGACCCACACAACGCCGCCAGGGCTGCCGTGGGTGCGGTGCCCCTCGTGTGGGACGACGCGGGTGAGTGCTGGGCTGGGCCTGGTGATGCATGCATTGTCATGATGTGAGTGAGTGCTAGGCCTGGTGATGCATGCATTGTCATGATGTGAGTGAGTGCTAGGCCTGGTGATGCATGCATTGTCATGATGTGAGTGAGTGCTAGGCCTAGTGATGCATGCATTGTCATGATGTGAGTGAGTGCTAGGCCTGGTGATGCATGCATTGTCATGATGTGAGTGGGGTGGGTGCCTTCCCTTGCCTCTCCCCCATTCGGGTTATCTCGACCCGCACCTCACAATGTAGCCAGGGCTGCCGTGGGTGCTGTGGCCCTGGTGTGGGACGACGGGGGTGAGCCTGAGATGATGCATGCGAGTGTGAGATGATGCATGCGAGTGTGAGATGATGCATGCGAGTGTGAGATGATGCATGCGAGTGTGAGATGATGCATGCGAGTGTGAGATGATGCATGCGAGTGTGAGATGATGCATGCGAGTGTGAGATGATGCATGCGAGTGTGAGATGATGCATGCGAGTGTGAGATGATGCATGCGAGTGTGAGATGATGCATGCGAGTGTGAGATGATGCATGCGAGTGTGAGATGATGCATGCGAGTGTGAGATGATGCATGCGAGTGTGAGATGATGCATGCGAGTGTGAGATGATGCATGCGAGTGTGAGATGATGCATGCGAGTGTGAGATGATGCATGCGAGTGTGAGATGATGCATGCGAGTGTGAGATGATGCATGCGAGTGTGAGATGATGCATGCGAGTGTGAGATGATGCATGCGAGTGTGAGATGATGCATGCGAGTGTGAGATGATGCATGCGTAGTGCCTCTCACGCACTCTCTTCATTCCCCCGCCCTCCCCCCCTCATCTCCTCCCTCACTCCCTCCCACACTCCCTCCCTCAGTCGCAGCTACAGCCGCGGAATGGGCAGCACATCTCGCCAGCGAGAATAACTGCGGGCTGGAGCATGGCGGCCCTGGCGACTACGGGCAGTGCCTCTCGGGCGCCAGCCCCAGCGGGTGGGCGACGAACACCGATGCGGTGCAGTGGTGGGTGAACGAGGGCGGGTGGTGCCTCCCCGGCGGCAAGTGCGACTGGGACAAGGCCGGCCACTACACCCAGGTATAGCTGACGAAGAGTCTGTGAACCTTCGGTGAGTGTTCAGGGGATGGGGGTCCTAAATTCGGATGAGATGCGCTGCAGTGGTGGGTGAGCGAGGGGCTTATGCCATCCACGAGTCACGACCCACCCACGAACGACCCCGTGCCGAGGTGCTGTTTCTCAGGGTCGGGTGCGCCAAGGCGTCATGTGGCAATGGCAAGGGCATTGTATTCAGATTGCCGTGGCCAATGGAAGCCTTGTACGCGCTTGTTACCCACGGCCATTCCTTGTCCAGTTGTAATGAGTCGATTTTTTAGTCGACTCAAAAAACGGCCATTCCTTGTCCAGGTGGTGTGGAACAACTCTCTCAGGGTCGGGTGCGCCAAGGCGTCGTGCGGCGGGGACAGCGACGTGTGGGCGTGCAACTACGATCCCCCCGGCAACTGGGCCGGCGAGCAGCCTTATGGTATGCATTCTCCCCCCTCCTGTCTCATGCTCATTGCCCATTCCAATGCCCCCCCCCCCGCCTCTTTCCCTCTCCTCATTGCCTCCTGTGGGCGTGTAACTACGACCCTCCCGGCAACTGGGTCGGCAAGCAGCCTTATGGCACCCATTCCCCTCCCACCCACCAGTGCCCAGTGCCCAGTGCCCTGCCAGGGCTGCTGCGTGGGTTGTGTGCCCCTGTGCCCTCCTTTTTGGACCTTCCACTGCCACCTGCTCTGCTGTCACTGGCAATGCAATCCTCAGCCACATCAATGCTCGGGTGTGCCCTGTGCCGTGTGCGCTGTGCCCTGTGCCGTGTGCGCTGTGCCGTGTGCCGTGTGCCGTGTGCGCTGTGCCGTGTGCCATGTGCCGTGTGCCATGTGCGCTGTGCTGTGTGCCGTGTGCCCTATCCCACCTGCAGTACTGGCCCCTCACTGTCGCTCACCCCTTTGCCCCACTCCTCTGCTGCCTTGCTCCCGTGTACCCCTCCTGCAGTCCTGGACCCGTGCTTGCGGGTCGTCTGCCCGTTCACTGCCACCTGCTCTGCTGTTGACGACATCGACAAGCCCGTGTGCTTGGGCTGAACCTCATTCCCCCCTCCCCCTCCCCCCCGTTCCTTCGTCCCCACCTCTTGGCCCCACCTCTTGGCCCCACCTCTTGGCCCCACCTCTTGGCCCCACCTCTTGGCCCCACCTCTTGTCCCCAACGCCTTCCTGCAGTACTGGACCCCTGCTTCCGAGTCGTCTGCCCCTCCACTGCCACCTGCTCTGCTGTGGACGACAAGCCCGTGTGCTCTTGCCCCTCTGGCCAGGCGCTGGTCAACGGCAAGTGCCAGGCAGGTGAGGACTCGCCCGGTGCACAGATCTCGTTCATAATGCTTGCGTAACCAAGAAGCAAGGGCGAGACCGTGTGCTCTTGCCCCTCTGGCCAGGTGCTGGTCAACGGCAAGTGCCAGGCAGGTGAGGATAGGGTGGTGTGTGGGTGTGTATGAGTGGTGAGAATGGGTGCAGTGCGGCTCCAAGCATCTGCCTTAGGCAAGCCTGTCTGCTCCTGCCGCAGGTGTGTGACTCGGTCTTCTGACGCCCAAGTGTGTGTGTGCGTGTGGGTGTGCGTGTGCGTGTGTGTGTGTGTGTGCGTGTGCGTGTGTGTGTGTGTGTGTATGTGTGTGTATTTCTTTGCACTCCCCAAGGAACAGATGTCCCCAGATAAATCGCTCGTAGTGACACCACCGATCCCTTTCCTCTTCCCCCCCTCCTCCTTCCCCCCCTCTCTCCCTTCCATTCAGACCCGTGCTTCGGGACGAACAAGTGTCCGGGAGACTTAGTGTGTGACTGCACCTCTGGCACTGTTAAGTGATAGATGGATACCTTGACGTACCGCCATCTTTCCATTTTTCCCTCTCCCGCCCTCTTTTCTCCCCCCCACTCCATTCAGACGCGTGCATCGGGGCGGCCAAGTGTCCGGGGGACTTAGTGTGTGACGGCACCTCTGGCGCACCCAAGTGTGTATGCCCCAAGGGATTGGTGCGCGTTGCACCCAAGACATGCCTTGGTGAGTGTGTGACAAGGCTGGGATCAAATACCTAATACAAATGACCAATTGAGAAGGCTGGGCGTGCTGTGGGAAAGCTGGGAGTGCTGTGGTGGTAATATACTGTTTGAGGCACAGCCAATTCGCCTTTCTCCTCAATGGAAACAAGCGTGCTGTGTCATGATCGTTCACTCTTCTTCGATCGCAAGTCTCATTCCCTCTCCACGCCTCTCCACCCCTCTCCACTCCATGATTCAGCGCCCACGTGCATCAGAGTGGCGTGCCCTGCCATGGCGCGCTGCAGGGCAGACAAGAACGGCATTCCCTTCTGCGCCTGCCCTGCCTCCTACTCCCTCGTCAACGGCACATGCACTCAAGGTACTCATTATAAACACTTGCACTCAAGGTACTCGATATAAACACTTGCACTCAAGGTACTCGCTATAAACACTTGCACTCAAGGTACTCATTGCAGACACATGCACTCAAGGTGTTTCTTCTGAGAACCTGCACTTGGGCCAGTCATGCGCCGTGCCCTTGGTGCACCCATTCCTGTTCAAGCATTCCCTTCTGCGCCTACCCTGCCTCTCACTCCCGCGTCAATCGCACTGCCTTTCCCTCTCCCCCCCCCCCCAGCTGGATCCTGAATCCTGGATCCCCCACAGTCACCACCAGGCCCGCTCACTTCCACGCCCCCTCCTTCACCAACTCCCCAATACACTCCATACCCATTTGCACTCCCTCACGTCCCTCCCTTGTGCCTCCCTTGCTTCCTTTCCCACTCTCCCCCCCCCTCCCAGACGGATCCCCCACGGTCACCACCAGTTTCGCTCTCTTCCACCGCCCCTCCACCACCAATCGAGTGTCCCTCGCTGCCATTGTGCTCCAGATGCCGGCTGCATCAACCTCGCGTATGGTGGGAACCGTGGGGTCACTGCAGATCCTCTTCAATTCTCACTTCTCTCTCCCTCCTTCTCCTCTTCCCTCCCACTCCCCCCCTCCCCCAGACGGATCCCCCTCGGTCACCACCAGCCTGGCTCTCTTCAACCGCCCCTCCTTCACCAATCGCGCCTCCCTCGCTGCCATTGTGCTCCGAGCGCCCACCCTCGATGACGGCTGCATCAACCTCCCCCCACGCGTGGCGGGCACCGTGGGCTCCGTGCAGATTCTCTGGGATGCGCCTGATGGAGCAACGGGGGACCGGGTGGCTTGCGGGCTGATCTGGTTCTGGAATGAGGCTGATTGCTATGGGGGGGCTGCAGGCTGGTACCGACCGGATAACAATGTGACCACCGCTAAGTGAGTGATTTTCTAGCCTCAATTCAGTGCCTTTTTTTGTTCTTTTTTGTAACCACGTGGCCTGTGGGTAGGCACTGGCTGCGCTGCTGCTTGCGTCACCACCCGCGATCTCCGGTGCTCCACTGTTCTCCCCTGGCATCTGATTGCAATTCGTGATCCCTTGACTGATGTGCCATGCCATGCCATGTGTGCCTCATTTGCCTGTATGGTATGTATGTGTGCCTGTCGCAGGACTGTGGATGGTGGTGTTGCCTCTGTGCGCTCTATTGCCTGCTCCGCATAAGGCACGTATGGCGCCCGCCCGCCTCCGCATGATGATACAAGATTTACTACAGAACACAATTGTTTATGTGCCTTCACACCATTGTTTTTGTTTGTTTGTATTGTTTTTTTTTTTTTTTAGTGCTGCAGAATATTATAATGCTTGAAATAAAATTTTAACTCTGTGCTTTTTTCCCCGTTATCTTTTTTATCTCCAACATGGATGCTCGATATAGGTATAATGCATTTCATGCTTCATTTGCAATTCTAGAGCTATCTTACTATCTGAATATAAGCGAGTGTCTGTCAAACGGGTTCATCTGACACGCCACCACGCTACGAGGCACTGACAGATACTCTTAGATTTTTCCATGCTGCTCAGTTTTAGAATCTAGATTCCACTTGCCGCTTCGGTCTAACGAGCTTGCCGCTTCTTCGCGAGCTTCCGCTACATTTTTATCTCGCAACGAACGATTGTACTGTAGTTTGCCGCTCTTCGAGCCCAGAACTCGAAATTCGTTACTGTGTATAAGAAACGGTCGGCGAATGATCCGTCACGCACCGGACCATCCTACTACCTAGTAGACCAGACTTCGCTAGATTAGAGGCGACTTTTGAGTCGACGCAAAAGGCAGCTTGGACCATCCTACTACTTAGTGGACCAGGCTTCGCTAGATTAGAGGCAGCGGAACACACGCATGGTCACGCGCCGATCCGTCGTACAGCTTCAACACATACTCGGGTATTCGAGAGTCTCAAAACGCGCACCGATTCTTCGTGCAGGCTCACTATGCCCTTGAAGAGTCTGGCTTAGCTTCATGGCTCCCCAATCTAGAGTTTAGGAATAAAGGGCCTAGTTCCATGTCGCTTTGAGCATCGCTCGAAGGCGAGAGTGTGCAGGCAAACTGCTCGCAATCAGTTGGCGTTCGCGCGGTGAAAGAAAGCCTAGTTCCACGTCACTTTGAGAGCTTTATAAAACGCCCAGCACAGCATGGCCGGAGCCGACGACTCCGGTGACTATATCGAGAGCCCCGAGGATCCCCGAAAAGTCGCCCCGAGTGATTTCCCGTCTTTCGCGTCGGCTCGCAGAGAATTCCCGCATTTCACGCCGACAGCTAATCCTAGTAGTAATAGCCGGCGGTCCCAACTGTTCCCGATATTCCCGGTCGGCCAGAAGCCCGCGTCCGTCAATTCCGTTTCCCAGGAAGACGGAAGTGGTAACGGAGGTGGTTTGCGATTGCACGAGATGACGGAATCTGTTAGCGTCCCAGTTACCGTCCCAGTTAACGGCGCAGGATCTCTGTTCCCGATTCCTGGTGCATTCCCGCGAGACCGGTCGTCGCGTGACGGTCCCGCCGGTGCGAATCTGCCTGACGCTGATTGGCTGACGAACTCCTCGTTTTCGGCCAACCTTCTCCCGGCTGCAGAGGCTGCTCGGCGCGCAGCGGTGGAAGCAGCTCGGCGCGCTGTGGGGGGGCGCGGAGAGGCGGGTGAGGGGGGAGATGAGAGTGAGGTCGAAGGGGAGGACGAGGGGGAGGAGGCGGAAGAGGGGGAAGAGGGGGAGAATGAGAGGGACGAGGGGGAGAATAAGAGGAGGGGTGGTTGGAGAGGCGATGGGGTGGGGGAGGAGGAAGGAGAGGAAAGCATGGCGCAGAGAGCCAAGGACAGGAGTGGTGCTTTTAAAGGGGGGAAAAGGGAATCGGATGGTAGTGACTATAGCGAAGGGGGGGGAAGAGTAGGTGAGCGTGGTGTGGGGGGATCCAGTGGTGCGGAGAGTGAGGGTACGAGAAAGGAAAGGAGGAGGAAGGAGAAGGGGAAGGAGAGGAAGGAGAAACGGGACAAGACAAGCAAGAGCCGACACGAGAAGAAAAGGAGAAAGAGGAGGAAGGGAGGCAAAGGAGGTTCTTCGAGTGACAGTTCAGGGGGTGACAGTAGCGAGAGTGGGGACTCTAGTGAGAGCGAGAACGAGGAGGAGAGGAGGGAGAGGAGGCGGAGGCGGAAGAAGAGAAAGGAGGAGGAGAAGAGGAGGAGGAAGGAGAACAGGGAGGCGGAGAAGATTCAAAGGATGGTTGTGGGGAGTGAGGGGAGGAGGCAGGCCGGGGGGGCTGGTATGGGAATGGGGGTGATGGGGGTGGGTGGGATGGGGATTAGAGGAGGGGTGCTAGGGGCTGGCAGTCAGGGGGGGAAGGAGTATGTGATCGATGCCAAGGGCGACAGGGACAACTATGCCTTTGGGTCGCTGTACAGGTGAGAGCACATATGTGAGCTCGGGTATGTGCAATAGGCCGTAGAGGCTAGCAGAGTGAAAGTGTTACCCCATACATACCACTCAGGTCTTAAATGTCTTAGTGAATAATAGTTCGTCATTGAATGTTCACGTCTCCATCGCACATTCAACTGCAGCCGCAGCCGCTGCCGCCGGCCCTCCTCCTCCCCCTGGGCGCTGGCCTTCGGTGCTGCCGGCTCTGCACCCCCACCCTCATCCCCGTCCTCCGCGCCCCTGCTTGGCCCAGTTCCCTTGCTGGCTTTCCTGGCCAATCTTATGCATGCCTCCTCTTTTTTTGAGGCGCCTCAAAAAACAATCTTATGCATGCCTCCTCTGATCCTAACCCCCTCCGGACTTCCGCTCCCTCCTCCCTACCCCTACATCACGGCAGGTTGAATGTTGCCAGGTATTTCGCCCACCCAACCGCCGCCACTGCCACCACCGCCTCCCCCTCCTCCCCCTGGGCGCTGGCCTTCGGTGCTGCGGGCTCCTCCACCCCCATCCCCGTCCTCCGCGCCCCTGCTTGGCCCGGCCTCATGCAGTCAAAGAGCAGAGGAGGAGGAGCAGCAGAAGGAGTGGGGGGGTTAGGGGTGGACGACAGAGTAGGAGGAGGGAGAGGGTTTAGTGGGTTGGGTGGGGGCGGTGGGGATTTAGGGTTTGGAATGCGGAGTCTGCTGGAGCCTGAGTGGGATACAGCCATGGGGTCTGTTACTGCCGCTTTTGCCACGCAGGGAGGAGGGGGTGATGGGGGAGGGAGGGATGGGAGGGAGGGGAGAGAGGGGAAGGGGGCGAGGCCGTCTGGAAGTGGAGCTTCGGCGGCCAATCGGTATTGGTCGCCATGGAATGCCATTTCCGAACGGAGCAAGGAGGTTCGGAGGGTCCGGTTCGGCAAGGGGCAGGTTCGGGGAGGGGTGGAGGAGGGAGGAGAAGAGGGAGGGAGAGAGGGAGAGCTGAGCAGAAGAAGAAGTGGAGCTAGTGATGGCTATGCTGCCACTGATGGTGGTGGTCCTGGTGCTGCTGCTGCTGCTGGTGGTACTGGTGCTGCTGCTGCTGCTGCTGGTACTGGTGCTGCTGCTGCTGCTTCTCCTGGCGCCCCCCCCACCTCCCTGCCTTACAAAATCGGGCGATTCGCGTCTGAAACAGACCAAGGGGCCAGTGAGGACGACACCGACGGTTTCCTTCCCCTAGAACCTCCCTTGCCCCCCCCATCATCAACCCGTGGCGTTAAACCCCTCACAAGCGACAGCACCAGGGAGGGGGGACGATGTCGGAGAAAGCAGCAGGGGTGGGAGGGACGGGAAGGGGAGGAGGCGGAGGTGGAGGAGGGCGAGACGTGGGACGAGCATGTGTTCCGCCGCACGAGGGAGTTTAATGAGGAGACGAGAAAGCGGCCGCTGGACGAGCACCTCTGGCTGCAGTTTGTTGCTTTCCAGGACGAGGCGGCGAAGGGCGGCGGCGGGCGGCACCGGGCGGCCGTGCTGCGGCAGGTGACTGAGAAGAAGGTGGCTGTGTTGGAGCGAGCGCTGGAGCACGTGCCAGACAGTGAAGCGGTGGTTCTCATGTACCTGCACACATGCAGTGGCCGGTGAGTGGCTGGCTGTTCCCCTAGACTCTCAGGTGTCACCAGCTGCGTAATGGGTGCTGCGGCAGGTGACTGAGAAGAAGGTGGCTGTGTTGGAGCGGGTGCTGGAGCACGTGGCAGACAGGGAAGCACTGGTGCTGACATACCCGCACACGTGCACACCTGCAAACGTGCACACCTGCACACGTGCACACGTGCTGCGGCCGGTGAGTGGCTGGCTCTTCTCCTAGAACCTCAGCTAGTTTTACGCTCCGTGGGTGCAGCAGCAGGTGAGTTGCTCCGTGGGTGCAGCAGCAGGTGACTAAGAAGAAAGTGGCTGTATTGGAACGGGCGCTGGAGCACGTGCCAGACAGTAAGGCGGTGGTGTTGATGTACCTGCACACATGCAGTGGCTGGAGGTCTAGTTTTGAGGCGCCTCAAAACTGGTGTTGATGTACCTGCACTGCACATATTCAGTGACCGGAGGGTGTTTTTTGGGTTGCGGAGCAACCTATTGCAATCGATCGGGCTGGTTTTTTTTTTTCAAGTTTGTGAAATAAAAATCAAATGTTTGTTGTGATGGAAATAAAACATTTTATGTATAATAAAGTCTCATCATGAAATGCTCCGCAACCCTAAGACGATCTCGTCGCCTCTTGTTTTTTTTTTTTTTTTCTTTTTTTTCTTTTTTTTTTCCGTTTTAGGCTCTCTCAGGTATTGCAGGCACTAAAGTTGGTACAGCTGGTGACTGAAAAGAAGGTGGCTGCCTTGGAACGACCACTGGAGCATGTGCCAGACAGTGAGGTGGTGGTTCTGCTGTACCTGTACACGTGCAGTGGCTGGTGGGTTGGTACTCTGCCCTAGGCATGAGCAAAACCGGGTATTTACCCGACCCGACCCGGTTTTGCTATACCCGACTTCGGGTCGGGTATTTTCGGGTCGGGTACAGGTCGGGTAACATGCCCAGGACCAATACTCGGACACGGGATTTGGCGGCGGGTAATTGTATACCTGCCTGGCGGGTCCGGGTATACCCGACCCGGTTTCCTTGATAAGCGGGTAGTATTACCCGCGTTTTCCCACCCTGCTGGGCTAAACTTACGACCTAAAAACGTGAGTCGTGGGAGGCAGTAAGAGGTGCACCAGATCTTTTACAGTTCTGGTGAGTAGGGCGTGAGTGGGGAGGTGGTTGGGTGTTCTAGTTGGGATGGGGTTGTGTGCGGTTTTTAGGGGTTTGATATTTTGAGCCCCAGAGTCAATTGGTTGGAACTCCAACCAATGTGGTGTTGTGCGGTTGGCTGGATTCAGGTTGGGTTGCAAAATAGATGGGGGAAATTCGATTGGTTTGAATTCCAACCAATTTCCTCCAATTCAACCGCTCTGAATGCATCTGGATCCACGAAATCCAACCCCTACCACTCTACAATGCTCTATGTGACCTAGCAGCTCACGTAACCTATGAAATTTCTCTACCAGCGCGACCAATGTCGCGCTGGTTCCGTCGGGTAGACACGCTACCCGATTTCGGGTCGGGTCGGGTACCCGTTACCCGACGTGTCGGGTAACGTTTCTGGTAACAGGTATCAAATACCCGCCCGGGTAACCCGGACCCGACCCGCCGGGTAATTTTCAGGATTCCCGACACCCGACCCGCCCTAAAAGCGGATCCGGGTAACGGGTACCCGACCCAAGCGGGTAGTACGCTCAAGCCTACTCTGCCCCGTGTGGTAGTTGCCACACAGGTGACCGATAAAAAGGTGGATGTGTTGGGAGACAGTGAAGCGGTGGTGCTGCTGTACCACCGCTCACTGTCCCCAGCCACCGCACACGTGCAGTGGCCGGTGATCTGGTGTAGAAAATGCTTTTCAGAGCTCTTAAGAGTCAACTGGCAAGTGTCACTGGTGCTACATCCCTCGCGACCTTTCCTAGTGTTTCAATGCTTCGCACCCCACCTATCACAACCCCCCTCCTGCCACCCCTCCCCTCTGTTCTCCTCCTCCCCCAACCCCTTGAAGTGGCGCAGCGCATTGGCCAGAGCCCTGCCAAGGCAACCCCAACCTCATCTAACCTTCTGCTCCCCCCCCTCCTCCCCCCCCTCCCCCGCCCCCCCATTTCAGTGATGACGCCACTACACTAGACGCCAAGTGGCGCAGTGCCATTGGCCGGAGCCCTGCCAGCCCGAACCTCTGGCGGGGCTACATCCGGTGGCAGAGGGGGCAGTTTGCCACTTTCACGGTGTCCAAGATCCGAGAGACCTACATTGCTGCCATTCGTGCGTTGGTTGGGAGAAGGAATCAGCTGTGGAGACTGGTGAGTGGAGGGAGGGGTCATATTGTCTCTCAGCAGGTCAATGCTAGAGGGGGGGGGGCTGCATCTGGTGGCAGAGGGGGCAGTTTGCAACTTTCACGGTGTCTAAGATCCGAGGGACCTGCATTGCGGGTATCAGGGCTCTGGTTGGAAATAGGAACGAGGTTTGGAGGGAGGTGAGTGGATGGGTCACTCAAGGAATGGGTGGCAGGCAGTGCGGAGGGGGCTACATCTGGTGGCAGAGTGCTTTTGAGGCGCCTCAAAAGCACTCTCAGTTCACGCGGAGGGGGCCTACATCTGATCGCAGAGGGGGCAGTTTGCGACTTTCACGGTGTCTAAGATCCGAGGGACCTACATTGCTGTGATACAGGCTCGTGGGTAATGAGTCCATATTTGAGTCGACTCAAAAATATACTCATTACTCAAGGGGCAGTTTGCGATTTTCATGGTGTCTAAGATCCGGGATACCTACACAGCTGCGATACGGGCTCGTGGGACGGAGCAACGAGGTGTGGAGAGCGGTGAGCAAGCACTGGGGTCGCACAAGCAACAGGTTGAAGTGACTGGGTGTGGGGGGGGGGGGGGGGGCTACATCCGGTGGCATTTTGCATCATTTGCGGTGCCAAAGATCTGAGAGCCCCACATTGTGGCTATTAGAGTTCGGGTGGACCGGACCGGGGAACCAGGTGTGAAGAGCGGTGAGGATGATGATGGAATGGGTGTGGCTATGTGCAGGAAACACGTGGGAAACTAGTGCTCCAGTCGCAGCAACACTCTGGTCACCCTCGCCACATCGTTGAGCTTTGAGCGCCTCCCCCTTCTTGTTTTCCTCTTCCATCCCCCTCACACTTCGTCTTTTGAGTCGACTCAAAAGTCACTCCGTCTCCCCCTATCTTCCCCCCCACCCAAACCCTCCCTCCCCCCCCATCTCTCTGTTGTCTCCCCCTATTGCTGCAGCTTCAGCATAAGCCCAACGACCCAATCAAAACCCGCCACCTGGCAGCCTCTGAAATCGCAGCAGTTGACATGCTTCTGGAGTCATGCCGCTTTGAGCACCAATCAGGGCACGCTGAGCTGGCAGTGGCGCTGCTGCAGGCCGAGACGGAGTACGCCGTCCGGCCGCCGCCCCTGCCCTTGTCGTTTTCTGAGGGGAGCAAGCTGAGGTTGTTTGAGGCGTTTTGGGAGGGGGGAGGGGAGAGAGTGGGGGAGGAGGGGGGGATTGGGTGGGCTGCTTGGCTTGCTAGGGAGGAGGGGTATGGGATGGGGGGAGATGGAGGGAAGGGTGAGGGGGAGGAGGAGAAAGAGGAGGAGGAGGAGGAGGAGGAGGAGGAAGAGGAGGATAGGGGGGGATGGACTGGTTGGCAAGAGGTTGTGAGGAAGGGAGAGGGTGGGGAGAAAAGGGATGCAGGGGAGGGAGAGGGAGAGGGAGAGGGAGAGGGGGAGGAGGTGAAAGAGGGGGAGAAGGGGAAGGGAGAAGGGGGAGGCAGAGACGACAAGGAGGAGGAAGAAGAGGACGAGGAGGAGGAAGAAGAAGAGGAGGAGGAGGAGGATGAGGACCTAGAGGCAGAGCTCATGGAACGGCTTAAACTGGGGAAGGGCGGAGCTGGTAGTGGTGGGAGTGCAGGTGGTGGTAGCAGTGGTGCTGGTGACGTGGCGGAGGAGGATTGGGTGAAGGACCCGGGCGTGTGGCAGCGGTGGGCGGCGGAGGAGAGGAGGAGGGAGAGCAGGCAGTGGCGGCCAATGAGAGGTGAGGCACGATGCGGGATGGGGCTAGAGATTGCAGGTGAGGCAGTGGAGTCTTTGTCGTGGTCCGTCCTTGCACTCTCAGCCATTGCGTCTGACGAGTCGCTCTTCTAACTCCCTTAACTGCCTTTCCCCCTTCGCTTTCTAAGAATTGGAAAGGGCAGGCTGAAGAAGAGGAGGAAGAAGAGGTGCGAGTGGTGGAGCATGAGGATGTGAGGAGACCCCACATGCCTAGCTATGTACACAGGTCTTCCTTTAATACGAAAGACTGCTTGTGAGTTGACGCCTCTATTCTCTTCCTTCCCTCTCATGCCATGTCGGTCCCCCCACGTCAGCAGCAGCAAGCAAGAAGAGGGGCGAAAAGGACGAAGAGGAGGAGGAGGAGGAGGAATTGGAGATTAAGGTTCGACTCATCCCACGTCCTTTCACCTCTCATCATGTTATGTTTCTCGCCCCCCACGTTAGCAGCGGCAAGCAAGAAAAGGGAGGAGGAGGACGAAGAGGGCGAAGAGGAGGAGTTGGAGCGGGTGGTGGAGTATGATGAGGATGTGAGGTGGGGAGTCGCGTCTCATTCATCCGCTGCCATGTCATTCCCCTACGTCCCACCACCAGCCACAGGAAAGGGGAAAGGGGCTGAAGACAAGGAAGAGGAGGAGAAGGAGGAGGAGGAGGAGGAGTTGGAGCGGGTGGTGGAGTATGAGGACATTCGAAGCCGCATCTTTTCTCTGAACTCAGAGGCGGCAAAGCGCCGATTGCTGCTGGCTGCTGCTGCCTTCTTCGATGCGCCCCTGCCCGCATGGTGAGTGCTATTGGGGTGAGTGGCTGTCGGGTTGGGTGGCTATTGGGGTGGTTGGCTGTGTGGGTATGAGGAGAGCAGGGTTGGACAAGCCAATGCATTTCCCTGCCTTTAGGCACGGTGAAACAGCGCCCTGCCCCTGGCTGCTGCTGCATTCTTTGATGCTCCCCTGCCATGTGGTGGGTGAACGAGTGCGAGTGAGTGAGTCTGCACTGCCCGTGAGGGGATTAGCTCAGGAAATTAGGTGCTAACACAAGCTCTTTTTGTTCGGTTCCTTCCTCCTGGTAGCAATTGACATACTCGTTCGCTGTCAACCTGTCATGATGAGGAGGGATGACAGTCTTTTTGCTCGCTCGCTGTCTCTTCTCCTTGCTCCCACCAGGCGCAGCACCAACGACAGCAGCTTCCTGGAAGCATCGGAATCACTACAGAGTGTCCCACGCTCCATTACCACACCCTTTCGAGCTCCAGCTGTTACTTCAGGTGCTTCAGGTGCTGCTGCAGCTGGTGCAAGGACAGGAGGGCAGAATGAGGGAGAGGAGGGGCTAGAGAGCCCAGTGGCAGGGGAGGAGGAGGAGGAGCAAGGCAACTTGGCCCGTGGTGCTGCTGTCCTTGACGCTCTAGCTGGTGGCCCCATGTGGTTTGAAGCATGGGGGGATGATGGAGGGAGGGGAGGGAGAGGGGGCGAGGGTGAGGGGAATGGAGGGAGAGATGAAGGTGGTGAGGAGGAGGGGGGTGGAGACGGTGCGAGGGAGAGGATAGGCTTTGTCCGCAGCTTCCTGGAACTTGCCTGCCAGTGGATTCCGGATGACAAGCACCTGCAGGAGGCCCTGGTGCTGACGTCAGCTGCTGCTGCATCTGCTACAGTGCCTGCTGCAGTACCTTCTGCGCTACCGCCCCTTTTGCCCCTTGCGCCTCAGCATGTAGCGAATCCCCTAGATGGCACTGCAGTAGGGAAGAGCAGAGGAGGCACAGCGGCGGCCATAGAAGCTCTTTTGGAGAGAGCGAGGGAGAGAGGGGTTACTGCTACAGGCGCTGCTACGACCTCTCACCACCACCACCTGCTACAGCCGGCGTCAGTACCAGACGCACACCTGCTCTTGGGCCATCCTGATTGGCCGATAGGGTCAAGCAGGACAGGACCAGAGGAAACAAACAAGACAGCTTATGCAGCCAAGTCGGTGCTTGCAGCTAAGGCAGAGGCGAAGAGGCTATTAAAGATGCGGCGGCAGGATCTGGGGTTATGGGCTGTCTACGCCCGGCTAGAGGCTGAGTGCGGCAATCTGGATGCCGCCCGGAAGGTTCTCGAGACGGCACTGGCGTCAGTGGCTGCTCTTCCCAAGGTGTGCTCACCGCAAAATTTGTGTCTATTCCCTTCCAATTCCGGTCTCGTCTTGCTTTGCTGCACTCTTCTCCTCCTTCTCTAATCACTCTTCTCTCGCTCTTTCCCTTCCCCTGCCGTTTTGCCTGCCCTCGAACTCCCTATCAACGTTTAGGCTTCCTGCTGTTCCCTCTCTCACGTCCTCCCTTTCCCTTGCCTTTCCCTCCCTCCCTCTCCCTTCCTCCCTCTCCCTTCCTCCCTCTCCCTTCCTCCCTCTCCCTTCCTCCCTCTCCCTTCCTCCCTCTCCCTTCCTCCCTCTCCCTTCCTCCCTCTCCCTTCCTCCCTCTCCCTTCCTCCCTCTCCCTTCCTCCCTCTCCCTTCCTCCCTCTCCCTTCCTCCCTCTCCCTTCCCTCCCCTCTCCCTTCCCTCCCTCTCCCTTCCTCCCTCTCCCTTCCTCCCTCTCCCTTCCTCCCTCTCCCTTCCTCCCTCTCCCTTCCTCCCTCTCCCTTCCCCCTCCTCCCTTGTCCCTTCCTTGGTGCGCCACTGAGGCCACACCTCTCTGGTGCTGGCATGGCGTGCGCCCACATGTATAAGTTCCCCGTCACGCACTCACTTCTCCCCATCTCTCTGCCCCCCTTGCCCGCTATCTGGCCCTGCATGCATGCTTGAGGAGTCTATTTGTGAGGCGCCTCAATAATAGACTCTTCTAAAACAATTTGAATCCTCTCCGTCCCCCTTGCCCCCTATCCGGCCCTGCATGCATGCTTCTCATCTGTCAGTCTGCTGCCGAAGCCACGCCTCTCCTTGTGCTCGCATACGCCCACATCGAGCCATCGCATGCTAATCACTCCCCACCCCCTGTCCCCCTGCCACGGGTCCCTCCCTGCATGCCTCCCTGCATGCCTCCCTGCATGCCTCCCTGCATGCCTCCCTGCATGCCTCCCTGCATGCCTCCCTGCATGCCTCCCTGCATGCCTCCCTGCATGCCTCCCTGCATGCCTCCCTGCATGCCTCCCTGCATGCCTCCCTGCATGCCTCCCTGCATGCCTCCCTGCATGCCTCCCTGCATGCCTCCCTGCATGCCTCCCTGCATGCCTCCCTGCATGCCTCCCTGCATGCCTCCCTGCATGCCTCCCTGCATGCCTCCCTGCATCCCTCCCTGTGTGCTCTATTCTCCAGTCCGCTGCCGAAGCCACGCCTCTCCTTGTGCTCGCATACGCCCACATCGAGCTATCGCACTCCAGTCACTCCGCCAAGCAGCACTTGGAGCCACAGCAGCCATGCCAGCAGACCAGCAAAAGGGGGCCTCGCCTGCACTGGACCATCAACCAGCACTGGCGGTCCCTCCACACCCTCGCCTCCTTCGCCTCATCTGACCCTTTTTCTGCCCCCCCACCGCTCCCCTCGCACCTTGGGCCAACTGAGGGGAAAGAGAGCGGCTCTATGAACCACCACTCCTCCTGGGCAGCTTGTAAATATTTCCCCCAGGCTTCGCTGATACGCGCGCGGGCAGGTTTCCACTTAAAGCTCCAAGAAGCAAAGAAAGCCCTTGCCTCTTCGGCTGCTGCTGCTGCTGCTGCTGCTGCTCCAAGTGCTGCAGCTGCTGCCGCTTGTCCTGCTGCAAACCCCTCTGCTGCTTCCTCTGCTTCTACTGGTGCTATGAGTGACACCAGCAGTAGGTCGCTGATACATGAAGAGAGCAACAGAGCGCTGGCAGCGGTGGCTGTGGTGCTGTGTGCTTCCCTCTTTGAGCTCCTGGCTGCTCCCTCTCCCCCTGAAGGCGTCTCTGCTGCTGCTGCAGTGCTGGATGCGAGCATTGCTGCCGTGCTGCCAGGACGTCGCGGCTCCAGTTTGGCCCTGGAACTCATATTCGAACGATACGCCTCCCTCTTGCTGCACGCTTTACCAGGTAACTCCCCCTCTCTTTGAGCACTTTGCGGCCCCGTCTCTCCCTGAAGGCATCTCTGCCGCTGCTGCAGTGCTGGATGGATGTGTTGCCGCCGTGCTGCCAGGCAGGCGGGCTTGCAGCGTGCCTCTGGAGCTGCTGCTAGAGAGATACGCCTCGCTCTTGCTGCACGCTTTACCAGGTAACACCTCCCCCTGTGCCAGGTGTCGCCTCCTATCTTTAAGCTCCTGGCAGCCCCGTCTCTCCCTGAAGGCGTCTCTGCCGCTGCTGCAGTGCTGGATGGTTGTGTTGCCGCCGTGCTGCCGGGTAGACGAGCCTGCCATGTGCCTCTGGATCTGCTGTTGAGAGATACGCCTCACTGCTGCTGCACGCTTTACCAGGTAGGGCCTCCACTCTTCTTGCTGCCGTGCTGCCGGGTAGACGTGCCTGCAGTGTGCCCCTGGAGCTGTTTTTTGAGAGATGCGCCTCACTGCTGCTGCACTCCCTGCCAGGTAACACCTTCCCCTGTACCAGGTAACACCTCCCCTTATGCCAGGTAACTCCTCCCCTTCCCTCTCTCCAGCCATTCTCTCACAGCAGGTGTGCAGAGTGGTGCTGCTAGTCCTTCGTGATTGTTGAGTCGACTCAAAAATAACTCTCCCCTTGTTCCTGACGCTCTCCCCTTGTCCTGGCTCTCTCCCCTTTTCCTGGTGGTCCCGTTTTTCTTTCCTCCCTCCCCTCTCCCCCCCTCTCCTTTCTCGGTTCTCGCCAGCCATTCGCCCACAGCAGGTGCGGCGAGTGGTGCTGCAAGGTTTGAAGGAGTTCCCCAGCAACGTGCACCTTCTTGGCACCTTCCTGCGGCTGGAGTCGCGTAGTGCGTTCACCAACAGCATCCGACGCTTCTTTGACCAAACGACCGCCAGGTCAGATGAGCCTATTCAGCAGCCAGGTCAGATGTGCCAAGCCAGCAGCCAGGTCAGATGAACCAAGTCAGCATCCAGGTCAGCATGGCTATGTCAGGTCCAATGAGTTACTACGGTTGGTTGGGCTAAGATGGTTACGACAGAAGACTCAGTTCGTTCGCACTGTAGATTATTTGAGAAATTGCCTGATGGAAACGCACTATAACAAATGCACAATTCTCCACCCCTCCCCATTCACACACACCCTCGTCCCTCGCTATCTTTCCCAACCGCCCCCCCAAGGCTATCCCACCCCTCACTGCTCTTCTGCCTGCTCTGTCTCGTAGTTCAGTTTTGGGTTTCCTCGAAACATGCTACCTACCTACCAATCCCTCCCTTCCCTCCCTTCCCTCCAGGCTATCCCAAGTCTTACCACTCCTCACGCAGCTCAGTCTCCTAGTTGAGTGTTGAGCCGCCTCAAAGCCCATTCCCAACTATTCCCTCCCTTCCCTCCAGGTTTTTCATCCCTCACCGCTGCTCTGGCTGCTCAGTCTCCTAGTTGACTATTGAGGCATCTCAAGACATACTCCCCATCTACCACCCCCTCCCTTCCATCCAGGTTATGTCATCCCTCACCGCTGCTCTGGCTGCTCAGTCTCCTAGTCGAGGTGGCAAGGCCAGGGGCCCGTCCACGTGTGCGCGGGTTACTAGAACGGGCTCTTGCCAGCTCAGCGCAGGGCAGTGGCCAATGTGTGCTGATGTGGCGGCTGTACATTGGCTACGAGCTCCGCATCAGTAGGAATGCTGATGCTGCAAGGAGAGTGTTCTTCAGAGCCATCCACGCGTGTCCTTGGTGAGTTTTATATGATTTTATTTTTTGGATGTTTGCTTATGACGTGAATTCATTTTTCGATGGAGATACCCTTTCGCGGAAAGGCGTTGCTAACACGTGTTTATGCCATTGGTCCCCCTTATTCGATCTTCCCTCTAGGTCAAAGGCCCTGTGGCTGGATGCATTTACGCAACTCCAGGGGGTGATCAAAGGGGAGGAGTTGAACGAGCTTGCCAACATGATGAGGGACAAGGAGTTGCGTCTACGCACTGATGTCTATGAGATCTTGCTTCAAGACGCCCAATAAAGTTTGCAAGGTTGAGAGAGCTTGTGTGTATGTAAAGCTGCTCAATGGTGGTTAAGCGATGGTTTTTAACTTGCTCTTTTGGTGTAGTTCAAGCTCGGTTACTGATCGCCAGGTGGAGGATTTTGGGTTGCCAGCGGGGAGTTCAAAGATTTTCATTGGCGTATGACGGGCGAAGTTGCTGAGCTCTCTATCTGGCTTTCCACGTGTGATTGTGCCACGTGGGAGCCAAGTATCACTGCATGCGACTCGCATGTACCCAGCAAAAATCCTTCCCAGAGCTGAGAGATCCGCGTACGTTATTCACGATACACTATCTTCAGTCTTGTCACACGTTCTGGTAACTGCAAATTTTCTCCTCGTCAAATTATGAAACAGATTTCGACAAAGCTTTGACACCGCATTTCCAGTCAATATTGCCCTTGATGTCACGATTTCAGTTCGCTGAATTTTGAAGGCAGAATGGAGCACGCATATTTACAATTCGAAACGCGACCTTCATATTTTCTGCTTCAAGCCGATTTGGCCTAGGTGAAATATAGGAGCGGAATTGTGACATATTCTGGGAAATTCAGGCTAGTGGGTTCAGTGTCAGAATTCGCCTCCAGCTTATCTGCTGCTGACCTCCACATTCGATCAGGGCTATGGCGTCCACCCTGCTTTCCCTGACCACATTCTCTCCGCTTTCAGTGGCGAGAGTCTCATGCAGACGGTCTGCCGCTCAGAAGCAATCTAAGCTACGACCACTCGTGGTCGCGTCCGCGGTACAACCGACGAGCCGTTCCGTTCTCACTGGTTCCGATAATGCCGCATGCGTAGCGACAGATCCCGCCGTGAGATCAACGGCAACGGCGGTATTCACATCCCTCGCGGCGTTTTTCCCGACGGCGCTCCCGGTTCTTGCGGAGGAGGTTGCCGTCGATGCCGCTGAGGCCGCGGCTGCTGTTCCGGATTCGCTCGGTTACGTGGTGCTGGCGATTCCGCTCGTGGCGTATGGCGGATTCTATCTCTTCCGGTCCACGGTAAGCTAAATACAAGAGGATTAGATGCCCTGTTCCAAGTTGATTTGGCTAGTTTTGTTGAATCAACAGGTCGGTTGGATTGCTCGATATATCAGGCCTGTTTGGGAAAACACAATGCACCTGTTGGTTTATTTTTCCCCCGCGATACTTCATGGCCTGCCATAGTGTTCATCCGTTCCGGCTTCACCAGCTACAACATTTGTAAGGAGGCCAGAACTCAAGGGGAGTAGATTCCCATTGCCTCTAAATGTGCACCAGATGTGCTCATGGGCCTTGCGTGCTTCTGCGGCTCTGGGGTCCAGGTGAGCCCTAAGGCTGGCTTCCTGGACTACGCGTTTGTTCTCGCGGCGACGGTTATTAATTCTAAGTCGGCTATAATGCGATATCATGGGCGTTGCGCGCTTGCGGCTCTCTCCGCAGGTGAATCTCGAGGCTAGCTTCCTGGACTGCATGTGCTGGTCTGAACTCTACGGGCGTTGCGTGTTTGTGCCTCTGTTTGCAGGTGAATCCCAGGGCTGGCTTCCTGGACTTCGCGTTTGTTCTCGGGGCCACGGTTATTGTGGCCAACCTCTTGACCTCGTTCATTCTTAAGGTACAGTATATTCGCGTTATAGGGAAAAGGGTGAAGCCTTGTATCCGTTCATGGATCCATCCACTCTTCCATCGATCCATTTATCCATCCTCCCAACCAACCATCCATCCATTCATCCATCCTCCCAACCAACCATCCATCCATTCATCCATCATGCATGGAGTACTAGTTCTCCTTCACGCTCGCCTATGGTTGGTACGTGAGTAAGAGGAGGCCTCACACAGTAGCCGGATACCAGCACCGTATCCAAGGGGTTCTGAACATGCACAATAGCCAGCACAATGTACGTGCACTGTTCCCACGCGAGGCACATTGCAATTTCTCCCCCAACATCACCCACCAGTCCCCCCACCCACTCTCCCCCCCTCAGACACAGACGTACACACAGACGCTCTATCTCACCAGTCCCTGTTTTATCCCACCCCTCCTTTCCCGTGGTCACTATCCCATACATTCTCTCAACCTTGATGCATGATTTCTCCTGAGACGCTCACACTTACCTCTACCTTCTTTCCGCCTCTTGTTTCCCTACCCATCCTCTTGTTTCCCTACCCATCCTCTTGTTTCCCTACCCATCCTCTTGTTTCCCTACCCATCCTCTTGTTTTCCTACCCATCCTGTGGCTGGCAGGTCCGCCTTTACTGAGTGTTAGCGAGCCCAGAATGCAAGCAATGCATTGCTCCATAAGCAACAGGAGCACAGTACGAAATGCTGCTTGCGCCTGTCTAGGTTCACTGCATCTTTGTAGGAATGCGGATTTTGCTGCACGTAGTGGGTCCGTCCGTCTAAATGCCTCCAGGAAGTCATCCGCACGCAACGCAAGGCCATGCAGGCCTGGTGCACTGTACTCGTTACGAGCTGGCGCTTTTGTTTATAAGTAATGCACAATGGAATTCTCCCAAGGTGCGCAAACAGCCACTGTCACCAACTTCACATACAAAGTCATCATATCACACTTTCAAAACAGCCAGAAGATTTTCCGTACGTGTACAGCATCACACTTCGCATCAGGCTGCGACTACTACTGGTACTTACCTAAACACCCCATGCACCCACACTCGCTTCATCTCCCTGCCCTTCCTCCGGTTCTCATTTCTCATACAGCAGTACTCCATCTCCTGGCAGAACCCCCAAGACACCCATCAGCTCCCGAACCTCGTGTGCATGTCACCCTAGTGCCTTTCTGTACACGCCATGCACCCACACTCGCTTCATCTCCCTGCCCTTCCTCCTGTTCTCATTTCTCACACAGCAGTACTCCATCTCCTCGCACTCAAACCCTGCAGCACCCATCATCTCCCGAACCTCCTCCAGTTGAAAGAAGTATGCGAGTGTGCCGTCTCCCCGCTCGTACAACCGGGCAATGGCACTGCCTGGGACACCGCACATGCGCACACTATTCCCCGGAGTGCATGGCGACGAGACTCGGCTCTGACCCGGCTCGTTCGGGGGCTGCTCGCGACGGCTCTCTTCCCCTGCTCCAGCTCGGCCTTGCTCCTCTCTTCCTTGCTCCGTTTGTTCCTTGCCCTCCTGACTCAACTCCATCTTCTTGCCGTTCAGCTGCCCGTTCACCTGCCCCTCCACCCGCTGCTGCTGCAGTCGAAACATGACCATGTCACACACACCATAGTCTCGGAACAGCAGCCTGCCCCCCGGGGCGAGCACCGCGTGTATCTGCCTCAGAGCATGCCGCATGCGATCGGGGTGCAGCGCGGAGAGAGTGAAGACAAGCAACGCCGCCCGGAATGGACGTAGGGAAGGAGGAGTCATCGGAGGGGTGCATCCATGCACAGATTCATTGGATCTGGACGGTGGTGAAGGGGTGCTGGACGCTACCAAAGGAGCAGGTTCGCTGGATGTAGACACTGCAGGGCATTCATTCCGACCAGGTGCATTGAATCTAGATGCGTTGAATCTGGACATCAGGGTGGCCTGCAGGTTGTCCTGTGCCACGTCACACACAAACCCTCTGAACCGTTGACTGACTGTCTGCTCTCCCAGGGCGTGAGAGAGAGTGTGGGCGGTGAGGGAGACAGCTGTAGGGCTGATGTCACACGCTGCCATGCAGACTTGGGTGGTGGCTCTGGAGGGGGGGGAGGGGAGAGGATGGGGCGCAGTGGTGAAACAAGGGAGTTAGATGGCTTCGGGCTCATGTCACCAGCTGCTATACAACGGAGTGTGAATGGGTGAGAGTGAGTGGGTGGTGAGAGACGCGGTCGAGGGGCTGATGTCGCACGCTGCCACACAGACTAAGGTGGGGGTTCTGAGAAGGGGAGCAGGGCGAGCAGGGAAAGTGGTGAGAGAGATGGCTGTCGGGCCCAAGTCAGTGGGGAGTGAGAAGCGGAGCATGGATGAGGGGAGGGGAGACGCGGCGATTAGAGGTGTGGGTGGCGTGAGAGAGAGAGAGAGAGCGACGGCTCTAGGGCTAATGTCACACATTGCTACACTAACTCGGGTAGTGGCTCTGGTAAGTCGGGCGCAGATAAAGCAGGGAGAGATATGAGGCAAAACAAGCAGGGCAAGTGGTGAGGCAAGCAGGGCAAGAGGTGACGCAAGCAGGGCAAGAGGTGACGCAAGCAGGGCAAGAGGTGACGCGAGCAGGGCAAGAGGTGACGCGAGCAGGGCAAGAGGTGACGCGAGCAGGGCAAGAGGTGACGCGAGCAGGGCAAGAGGTGACGCGAGCAGGGCAAGAGGTGACGCGAGCAGGGCAAGAGGTGAGGGAGACGGCTGTGGGACTGATGTCAAATGCTGCCGCCCACTCTCAGGCCTCACAATGGTCTCACTCACCTCAGAACGGCAACGGCTGAGCTGCCATTGCCGCAGCCGACTTTTGAGGCGCCTAAAAAACCGTTTCAGCTCAAGCGGATTCTGAGGCGCCTCTAAATCGATCTCACCTCAGAACGGCAACAGCTGAGCTGCCACTGCCACTGCCGACGTCAAGAACTCATGGCTTTTGAGTCGACTCAAAAGTCAGCTGATCTCACCTTAGGACGGCAACGGCTGAGCTGCCACTGCCGCAGCCGACTTCCAAAATCCATGGCGGATCGCATGTAGATGATGCCACGTGGCATGGTAGAGAATCACATGCTGCTGAGTCAGCAGCTGGTGCAACGCGTTCTGCTAAGTGTGACTCTAACGGGGCATGGCCCTCTGCTGAGTGTGATTCTAACGAGAGGATCTGAGGGAACGCGTGCAGCAGGTACCGCCGCTCCTTGAAGAACTGGGCCGTCCGATGCTGCTGATGAAACCCGTCCCAAGCCTCGGAGCCAGGCTCGGCAGTACCGGACCTGGCATCCACGTCTTGAGGGTCTAACGTGGGCTTCTTTCTCTCATCCTGCTTGCGCCGCTGCCTTTCCCGCTGCTGCTGCTGCTGCGGTCCCTCCTGCTGCTTCCGCTGCTGCTTTTTCCCATTCGTCCCTGAAGCCTCATGTCTAGAACTGCTGCCGCCGGAAAAACAACATTCTTTGCCACCACCTGTTACATTCACTGGTTTTAACTGTCCAAACGTCTCTTCTTGATGTTGCCATTGCGACCGCTGGATGTCAAGGGTGGTGCCATCCAACGGTCCAAACGTCGCTTCCCATTCGCGCCGCACCTCCTCCCACTCGAAGTCGCGGCTGTGATACTCGCCTGCCGCCGGCTTCCTCGAATCTTCCCGCGATGAGTGCACGGCACGATCGCCCATGGTCTACCAGAACTTCCGCGTGGAAGCGACGTTGCGCGTGTAAATAAAGACGTCTGGGCTTTGCTTGGTTGTGCGATCGCCTGTGAAATTGCTCGAGCATACGTCTTGCTAATAATAACCGCGAAACGTCGATAGAATTTCATAAATGATATCCTTCAGCTAAATACACTCTAAGTGGGTCTTACGGCCTATTCCTGCAGCCTGATCCCGGCACCAGAAAAAAATCCGTTAAACAAAAAAAATCCGTTTAACAAAAAAAATCAGTGTGGTTCATTTGGATTTTGCGCAAGTCTGATTCCGGGATCAGGCTGCAGGAATACGGCCTTACTGTTGGAATGTATAGATGAACAAATCAATCCAATAAAATTGGTGCAGCGTGCGCTACACACTCCTACATACGTACACGACCAAATATTTGTAAACTAGACAATATAACGAAGAAAATCAAAATGTTTGGGAAGGAAAAGCACGGAGTTGGTTCCCCTGCTTCATTTCCCCACGGCCCAGCACCTGCTCGAGCTGCTGCTGCTGCTGCAGCAACCGTAGCAACATAGGGTTACCACTAAAATGCCCATCACTTACTTTCATACTCCCAAACTCCCCACCACCACCACCACCACTGCCGCTACCACCGCTCCTTCCGCCAGTTGCCATTCCGCCATAAAGACCCCCTTCTTCTGCACTCCTGGCCCTCCTCCCACTCGCCTGGCTCACACACATCCCTCGCCCTTCCAAGAAATCACCGCTTGCCACGTGCACCTGCCCACTGTAGCTGTGGCCAGCACGCACGGAAACGGATGCATCCCTTTGTAACAGATCCACATTTCTCCCTGATGACATCATTCGGGCAGCCATGTTCTGCTCTTGCTGCTGCTGCTGCTGCTGCTGCTGCTGCTGCTGCTGCTGATACTGCTGACACTGCTGCGGCTGCTGCTGAAATGTCCCTCCGCCATTCACACTGGCACTAATGCCTGCACTAAGGGTCCTCGCTATACTCTTTACAGAAGCACTCATTAGCACATCCTCAAGCCCCCCAGACCCTCCCCATCCCCCTGCTACCTCCATCACAGCATCTCTCTCTTCCTTCCCTTGCGAGACGGACCGTCCAGATGTGGCCAGAGGTGCCACGTGTCCTGATCCTGCAGCAGAGCGTATTGGTGGTATTGGGGGCTGTGATAGCCGTTGCATTTGCTGCTGCTGCTGCCCCTGCTGCATCCGCTGTTGCCCCTGCTGCTGTTGCCCCTGCTGCTGTTGCCCCTGCTGCTGTTGCCCCTGCTGCTGTTGCCCCTGCTGCAATTGCCCCTGCTGCTGTTGCCCCTGCTGCAGCTGCGTCCCCAGCAGTTGCTGCATCTGCCTCTGCTGGGCCAGCTGCAGCAGCAGCGCTGCTCGCCTCTGCTGAAGAGCCCTCGCTGCATTCACTGCTTCCCCAGAAAAACCTGCACCAGAGGCGCCTGCGCCAGAAGCACCTACTCCATGTGAAGCAGCAGAATTAGGGGAGGCAGCAGAGGCGAGCAGAGAGGCCAGGAGAGCAGTGTTAATCTCCCTTCCAGCCTTGGCAGCAGCACCCTGAGGCAGACTCGGCACCTGGGGCACCTGACCGAACACCTGAGCTGCATTGGCCTTGAATTGAGGCGGATAAGTAGCGCCATTGGTGGCAGCATTACCACCACCAGCATTTCCGTTCTTAAAAGTATTAGTAGCAGCAGCAGCAGCAGCAGTGGCACTAGCAGCAGCTGTACTGCAGAGTCCTGCAAACCCACCCATTGGGAGCTTCACCTCAAGTTGCTGCTGCTGCTGCTGCTGCAGTGTGGGTATCTGTGCCTGTTGCTGTGATTGTGTCTGTGTTTGTGCCTGGGCCTGTACTTGTGCCTTGATCCGTGCTTGTGCCTGCATTTGTGCCTGTAGCTGTTGCAACAGGCCCAGAGGAAGTCCTGCCTGCTGCTGCTGCTGCTGCTGCTGCTGCTGCTGCTGCTGCTGCTGCTGCTGCTGCTGCTGCTGCTGCTGCTGCTGCTGCTGCTGTTTCTGCTGTTGTTGCTGTAGCTGCTGCTGCTGCCCTCCTACCGTTCCAGTACTAGCAGCATCACCAGCAGCCAAACCTGCGCCCGGGCCTGATCCCGAGCCTGACGCCAAGGCGCCTGCCGAGGCTGCTGCCGAGGCTGCGATAACCGACACCAAAGCAGCAGGCGGAACACCCGAGCCTGTGGTGGCGGCAGCAGCAAGCGCCCTGAGCAGCAGCTGCTGCTTGGGGTCGCCTATGGGGTTACTCAGCATCTGCCGCTGCTGCAGCAGCCGGTTCAACGCCACTGCTGCGGCCATCTGCTGGTTTATGGCTGCTGCGCCCCTCTTATTCCCTGCTATGGGTGCTGCTGCTGCTTCTGCTGGTGATGGTGGTGATGGTGCTGCTGCTGATGCACTAGCTGTTGTTGTGGCTCCTGAAGCTGCACTCCCGCCCTCCACTCCTACCTCCTCTCCCATTCCGCCCTCCCGCTCACTCCCCCCCCCCTGTTGTTCTCCCCACGCTGCACCTGACAACGCGGAGACTTCCCCAGGGGGAAAGCGCCATTGGGGGAGGGGGTTGCGCCAACAGGGGAGGGAGTTGCGCCAATGGGGGAGGGGGTTGCGCGGAGCGGCTCCTGGGGGAGGCGGAGAGGGGGAAGCTTGAGGAGCGGAGTGGGGGAGACGGAGGAGCAGGAGAGCAATGGGGGGTTTCCAGGCGTGGGGGGCGGAGGCGGGGGGGAAGCGGAGGAGGTAACGACAGAGGCTGGCCGCGTAACGGCTGTTGCACCAGTGCTAGTAACAAGAGCAGCATGCACGTTGGGAACATCCGCGTTAGTATCACCAGCTGCATTAGAAGCACCATCGTTTAGAGAACCGGTAATATCCTGCTCGCTTGCAGCAGCAGCAGCTGCATCGTTGTCGCTCAAGCCCTCCATACCCACTCCCTCGTCGCACAGCGTGACTATATCGAAAGGTTCATCTGATGGGAGATCCGCGAACAGATCTTGCGGAAGATCTGTAAGCAGATCTGCGGACGAGATTCCCGAGATCTCATCTAGATTCGCCTCGGACATGACGATCGGCAGATCCAGACCCTCCATTTGCGTCAGATCGAAAGTATTCAATTCGCCCATTTCGCCCATTTCGCCTGCGTCGTCCATCTTTTCGTTACAAGCCCCAACCGCCGCCCCTTCCTCCCAGCTTCCTCCTGTGAAGGGTCCGCCAAGAAGCCCCGTTTTAGTCACATCTCCGTTCTGGTCATGCATACTCATCATCGCCTCGTCCGTTACAAGAACACCTTTGCGACCCCCCTCCTCCAACCCATTCACAAGCGTCGCTAAAGCCACATCTGCGTGTTCCAATAACGGGGGCATTTCTTCCGACTCTCCCGCGCTATTGTCACTACCGCGGAAAGCCGAAACGTCACCACTATTGTCACGAGCCAGCCTGGCATCCTGTTGCAACCGCACGAGTCCTCGTGGAGAAACTGCCGTCGCCGGCAGATCTGACGGCCGCTTCAAGCCGGCAAATTTAGCCGGTTCAATCTGACTGCTGCTGCTGCTATTTCTGTGGAACGGCGCGGCAGGAGGCGACGCAACTCGCGCAGGCGGCGCAGCGGGAGCGGCGAAGAAGTGAGCGCGGGCCGCGGCGGAGATGGCGGAAGCAGAAGCCGCGGGAGACGCGGAGCCGGGCTGGGGGGCGGAGGCCGCAGGGACTGCTGCGTCGCGAGGAACGTGTAGGCGCAACGCCGCGGCATCCTCCCCGCGCGCGCGCGCTAGCATCATGGGCGGAGGGGGTTGCGGCAAAAGCTCTGGCGGGTAGTTTTCGGGGAACGTGATATTATGGATGCTGCTACCGACGGACCAATCACGAGCGAGCATCTGCGGCCGCTCTCTCTCTGGTCCCGCGGTGGAGCATCGTCGTAGGACGGACGCAGCGGAAGCGGCTGAAACGGCGGAAGCGGCGGGAGCCGCCGAGAAGGGGCTATTGGAGGGCGAGTCGAACGCGCCGAAACCGCCGAAATTTCCGGCAGAATTCCCGGAAAGCGCGGCTTGGTTTCCGCCAATCACGGGAGAGGATGACGGGCTGAGGCCGGGCTGAAGTCCGCCGTGTCCGCAGCCGTGAGAGGCGCTTGTAGGAATCGACGAGCCGGCGGTGTTTGCGCGCTGCAGTCGGCGCCGGCCCGCGAGACCCGCCGCGCCGGCCGCTGGGGAGCGCCGGGATGTTGATGGGGGGAGCGGCGTGCACAGGCCTTGCGCGAAAAGCGGGACGCTTTCGCCCATGAAGGTATCGGCGGCGGGGAACTGCGCAAGCGCGTGCGGCGGAACGTACGCGGTGGGGTTGCGCGGGGCGGCGGCATGCGCGGAGGAGTGAGCGGGGGCTTGTGCGGGTGCGGAAGTGGGCGGAGAGGGGCCGCGGAGGGGGCGGGATGCCGAGGGTAACCGCGGGGGGAGCGGACATAGCAAGTGAGTCTGCGGTGCAGTCGGGAGGGGGGGCGGCGAATGCGAAGCGCCAGTAGATGCTACTCCACTGGGCGTGACACGTGCCGGCGGCAGCGGGTGCTGCCCGTTGTGCTGCGACCCGTTGTGCGACAGCCCGTCGTGCGACAGCCCGTTGTGCGACAGCCCGTCGTGTGACAGCCCTCCCAGCTTTTCCGGAAGGTGCGGCGGCGGCGGCGGCGGAAGGAGGTCGGGACGAAGGCGCTTGTACGACATCATGTCGAGCATCTCCATCGCGATAGTATCACTACTCGATAATGTCACTCTTCGGTAGTATCACCGCCGCTTCAAAGGCTTTGTCGCTAGTCTAGAAAGCTGTCTAACTAACCCTCCGTTAATCGACATTAGCTCATCCGAACGCGAGTCTGCGGTGGCGTAACTTAGTCTCGGCTTCGACTAATGCGCGCGCTGGTGCCTGACGACCGACGGGCGCTAACTATGACCGCCACGAATCAGGGGCGTTCGGTTCCTGCGTGACAAAGAAAGCTGCTTCCTTCACTACGGAAACGCTCGCTCATCAGAATCGGAAAACAAGCAGAAGTGGTAAGAGCCGAGAAGCAAGAATGGCGGAGCAACGCGAGGTGGAAAAGAAGCAGAAGTGGTGACACCGTTCCTCTCTCCCGTGCTTCTAGAATTCGGCGTCCTTCCCCGCGTTCCCTCACACGTCCTGCGTGAGTTGCATTCCTATCTTCATCGCCCCGGTTTTCTCTCGCTTATCTCGATCCCGTACCTATTTTTCAAGCTGGCCCACGCGTCATGCAAGCTCTGTGCAAAGTGGCGCGTCAAGCCACCAACCCATCAAACCCAACAGCCAGGCTGGCCCAGCGCTGATTGCGCGCATGCAGGATTTTCGAACCAGATTCACATGGTGATTCGGCAATTCCGCATGGAAAAGTGAATCCATATCGGGATTCGTTCCCATCTGTCGACATGGTTCACCCCATGGGCTCCCTGGTGGCATTCGCCTTTGAATTCAAACCAGGCCACTCGTTGAGGAACTGCTTTCATCCGCCAGCTTCCAGGCGCTGGAACAGTCTAGCCCCGCAAATAACCCAGGCTGCGAAGTTTCTCCCCAGGCTGGCAGGGGTGGCAGGTCAGCCTGGAATGGGACTAACTTTCTGGGACTCAAGCAGTGTTTTCGGGTCACACAACATTTCAAGTTTCGGACAAGTGGTTCTAAAATTAGTGACGGTAGAGTGCAGAAGTTCTGGGTTGTGAAGTGCGTTCCCTTTTGTGCACGTTTTAGGGCGTGGGAAAATGTGTCCAGTTCGCAAGATTGTTTTCCGAACCGGGAAAAGTACCGCGCCTTAACAGATTGCATGTATTTGCACCGTACTAAAACTTTTCTGAAAACCTTCGAAATGATCCGGACGTGGACCGATTAGGGCAATTCGGAAGCATTTTTCCACGTCCTTAGAAAGCCGGTTTTCTTCGCTGGGGACAACCTCCATTCCCGATTGGTGGGCTCTCCACTAATTTCGAGGTTTGCATGGAAATTCTGAGACTACTTTCGAACTCCAGTATTCCCCTCCTATAATTTCTTCTTCTCCCGCCAGCTGATCGGCATACAGTAGGAAAGAACGCTCCAGCTTCATACAACTCCACTCCACACTCTCCACACTACAGTGATCGGTGAAACTCCAGCGGTGTAGTAGATACCTGGCTGGTCACCAGATCCTCGAGTCCCCTGACCACCTGGAACCCCCCCCCAGGTCAATTGGTTGGGAGCAGGCACGTCGCTTACGACGTCCGAAATTTTATGGTACTAATGATGCCACGAATGTTCTCTTGAACTCTGAGCTGAGGGTGCGGTGCCACCGTTGCGAAGTTCCAGTTCTGGAACTCAGCCTAGAAGCCTGCGTTGATCCTCCGTTATAGCCGTGATTATTAGGGTAATGTTTATTAGAGACCCTGCGGAAAATCTGCGTGGTCATGATGGGATGGGAGCGGGAGGTGCCACGGCGTGGGATACTTAGTTGAGATCCTAATCAGGTTCAGGCCTCGTGTCTTTCTCCGTGATGAAATCAGGATAAGTCAAGAACGCCGCTGAGCGGCCAGAAACGTCTGAACTGAGACGAAGTGTGAATTAAGTCTGCAACGCGAATCCCCACAGCCGTGTCACGAAGTTGTCAACAATTGACACGTCAGCTAGCTTGATGACTACCCTCACAACCGTAGGGCTGCTCTGTGTCATCGAGCCAGACACGCACGGTGAATGCGCCCCCTATTGGAATTCGGGTTCCAGCTCCAACTTCAAAATCCCAGGCTGCAGCTTGCACAGAAACTTCCATCCCCCCACCCAAGTCCAAACCACCCCCTCCCCCACCCAGACTGTACTCATCCCGTTCAATTCAAGGCAGATCCCATTCGTTGCCAAACCCTGAAAAAATGATGAGCATTCCTCCCCACCCACAAGCGCGAGCATGGGCTGGGCACACAACGAAACGACCCGGAATCTAGGGAGTTTGCTGCGGAGCAGCCAGACGCGGTCACGTGGTGGTGGTGGATGGGAGGCTTACCTGCCGAGGGAAAGCGAGGGCGTATTCAGACAAACGGGTAGGACCCCAGGTTGGAAAAATTCCCCTCGGGTCTAAGACTGACGGTGTTTGTCAGGTGGCCTACAACCATAACAGCTTAGACTTAGCGCGAATCATCGTCCACCAATACAATACCAGTAAAGCTCAACTGCAACAAGCCCACGATAATGTGCTGAGTCAGACGGGACAAAGCCCACTCGGCAGCTGAGTCAGCTGTATAGTTGCATTTGACCTTTTCGACAAAATTGAAACTGTTTCGCTGATGCGCTGTCAATCTCACTAAACCCGCAGTTGGGTTTTGACAAGCCGCGGCTCCTTCGACCGCGGGTTTGCCTCGGGTCTGACACTCTCTCCGGAATCTCCCTTTCTGTCACAACAGTACAGCGTCTTTTGGACAGAAATCCCGTTCTGCATTGGAGCACGGAGCTCCGTGCTACTGAAGCGCAATTGCCCTCACAATCGAAGCAACATCGCCCGTCCACTCACAGAAGCCACCCGCCTGCTTTTCTGCCCGAACTTTGCAGCTGGCGCCTTGCTGGTTTGTGCACGACGCAGAGTCAATGCCCCGAACAACCACCGAATTTTCTGAAGTCTCGCCAATCACGACTAGCCAGCTCGCAAAGATGGAAGGGTCGTGAGTGTCCGATACAATAATACTCGTGCCATTCGTATTATTAGGTTAGGTACACATCACATCGCTGCTGTCGAAGGCATGTTGTACATTGTCCTCAGAATGCTGTGCAAGGCTAGTGGGGAATGTTCTGTTTTAAATACCGTAATGGGAGACCAGCCATGTCACAATCTTTGCAAGTTCAAGAACCTTAAACACAAAGATAGCTTAGCATTGTTTGTTTCCTAACTCCACCTACCTGTATTTGCATTGCTACACGACCCTACCAACCATTCACGTGGTACCTGTGCAATCAACTCAGCCCTCAGACAATTTAGGCTGCAAGCTTCTACCATGGATTCTGTTGCGTGGACCTGTTGTGACTGCTGGCAGTCATAGCCGAGTAGTACATCGCATTCTTATCCTTAATACGCACCGCTGCTGCTAGTGCTGCCCTTGCTGCATTTCAAACGTGGGATCCGATGATGCTGCTGCCTGCTGTACCTATGTGCCGTCTTAATGCCAGTTCTGGAGTGTCTCAAGGCGGTTGTTGCTGCTGCTTGCCCAACGTGCTGCCTATAAGCCATTGCCCCTTCCTTTGCCCTCTACCACCCTGGGCCTACGATCGGAGTCATCCAGCTGCACACTATCACCGCTTGATATTGCCAGGCTTCGCTGTAAGAACGCTTCCAGCTCAGATGCCCTTTGCAGCCCCCCAACACTCTGGCTTCGTTTGAAGAAGTGTTCGACCTCAAACTCTAAGCAAGGAGTCTCAAGACAGAGGCTTCTTTTGAAGAATGCTTCCAGCTCGTTCGCCCTAGAGCCTGGAGGTGACGACGGCGGCGGCACATGCAGAGCAGCAGAGAGTGGAAGGGAGGGCAATGGAGGGGTGGAGTGCGGTGGAAGGCTGACAGGGAGAGGGAGAGTGGTTGAAAGCAAGGAAGGCTGGGCGTTGCACATTGATGCTGCAGATATCAGACCCACAGAGTGACACGTGGCAGCTCCCATGTGACCCAGAGGTGCATGAATCGACGGTGATGCCCAAGGGCAGGCTTCGACTGTAGCACATCCCAGCTTGCCGGCTTGGCATGTAGGGACTGTACCAGGAGCCTCTGCTCGAGACACACCTCCACCAGTTGTACCTTGCCCAGCCGCCCCCATCTGCATGGCACCTCCGCCAGGTGTACCTTGAATATCACCTGCACCAGCTGTGCCGTTCTCAGAGGGTTCGCTTGAGGCAGGAGTGATGAGGGGAGCTGAGCAGGAGCGGCCCAGGACAGAGGCGACTCTTGGGGGGGGATAGCTGGAGAAGGATTTACTGGGGGAGGGGGAACTGGAGAAAGCACTTCCGGAGAGGGGTTTATTGAAACGGGGTTTATCAGGGAGGGGATTACTAAAGAAGGGATAGCTGGTGGGAGGGGTGCTGGGGAGACGAAACGGGTGAGGGGAAGGAGGGGGGAGGCTTCCAAACAGGGGCGAGACACGTGGGGGGAGAAGGGATGGGGGGGAGGAGATGAGTGGGGAGGGGAAGGGAGAGGAGGAGGGATAGGAGGAGAAGGGAGAGGAGAAGGGAGAGAAGAAGGGAGAGAAGGGTTCCAGCGGGCGTGAGGTGGGCGAGTGGTGGTGAGGAGTGGGTGGATGGGGGGAGGAATCCATCCGCCGCTGGCTCCCGATATTGTCACTCCTGGCAATAGGCACACTCGATAAGTGCATCTCGCCAGTGTGGGGAGCTTGGAGGAGAGGGGAGGTGGCAACCGATGTCAAGCGAGAGGGCGCAATAGGAGCGGCAAGCACGCCCGATCTAGCAAACGGAGGATCACCAAACACTGGGGCAAACCCAGGAGCACCGGACGCTGTAGCGAATCCAGGAGCACCGGACGCTGTAGCAAACCCCACACGACTTTCCGGAAGTCGTTCCCAAGGGCCAGAAGCGCTTGCATGCATGCCAGTCCCAGTGCAGTGGGCGAATTCCCCTGGATTTGTGACTGTATGGAAGGTAGCAACGTCCTTCCCTGTGACTGCACGGAATGTGGCATCCCTGCGTGTGACTGTATGGGGGCCACTGCAGAGGGTGCTGTTGGCTGGGAGGCTTTGGGACAGGCAGGACGGACCAATCGGGTCGCCTTTAAGGGAGGCTCGCTTGCGCTTCGGAGTTAGCCTCGGGCTAAGGTCCGGTCCCTGTTCTCCGCCGAGGCTCGGACTCAGATTCGGGTTGAGTTTCGGGCTTAGCTGCTGCTGCTGCTGCTGCTGCTGCTGCTTCGTGAGCGTCTCGTCCGGTGCACATCGAACCAAATCCAGGCTCCCGCTGCTGTGCCATCTGTACCGCATTGCACTGCTCCTGCAGGCGATAGACCTGCTGCTGGGCCTACTAAGGGGCGGATGAGCGGCAGCAGGCTGCGTGGTGCTGGGAGACGCCATGACCGTCCCCCGGATGCTGCTGCTGGTGCTGCTCACAGCCTCCCTGGCCGTCTTGCCGCTGCCAGGAGCAGGATTTACTGCCTGCGACTTAGCTGCTGCTGCTGCTGCTGGTGCTGCTGTTGCTGTTGCTGTTGCTGCTGCTGCAGGGGCTGAGACTGCTGCGGTGCTAGGTGTGACAGGAGCACGAGAAGCAGCAGCAGCAGAAAGAGCAGCAGACGCAGCACTCCCGGTGGCACTGCTGCGTCTTCCAGCAGACGTCGTCACGTCAGCAAAGTTAAACCCTTCGATAAAGTGGCAATTCGGAGCAGACGCGGCTGGCGCAGCAGAAGCAGCAGCAGCAGCAGCAGCAGGAGGAGGAGGCACTCCGAGCCTCCACTCTCTCTGCATCTCGCTGATAGTACGCACGGGTGTTGCACCTCGATCATCCCGAGGTATGGTACATCCGAACCTCTCATCCCGAGGAACGGAAAGTGGGTGGGAAGGGATGATGACGTCACCACTTGGTCTGCTACTGACAGGAGTACTGATACCAATGCCAGCGGAAATCGCGCCGCCGATACCAGCCATAGTTGCTGCTGTCGGAGGGAATATTTTTGCGAAGGGATGGTGTGAGTCAGCCTGGCTCCATGAACCAAAGCGCGCCGAGTTAAGGTTCTCAATCAGCTGCCAGCTGGAAGGACCGGCTGGCTCGGGATCCAGCCACGTGGCAGCGCGGAAATCGCCGTCCATTGCTGCCAGCTCAGCCCACAACGACTCCGTCAGCGCTGCCAAATCAGCTGGAGTGGTCAGCGGCTGGGACACGTCAGCACACACGGGTGCTGCTGCGTCAACTTGAAATAACGGCGTAGTGGCGAGTGTCACGGCAGCTTGAGCAGAGCCGTCGCCATTAGCGAAAACTTCGGCGAAATCAGGCGAATCAAGAGTTTCGTGTGCGGCGAGAAGTAGCCTGAGGTCGTGGTCGCTCCACTCATGCGACAGCATCGCCAACGCGTCGCAGCCATCGCCTCCATCGCCGACATCACCACGGCACTCCATTGAAACCTCTGACTGAAATTGGCTCTGAAAGCGGCGTCGGATAATATTTTCCCGAGGTTTCGCGTGATCGGCTGAGACGGGACGTCCGACAGTCGGGAGTATCGCAGTGTGAAGAGTTGGAATGTCTACTAGTCGACGGGGTTCCTAGTAGTAGGAACGCGAATTTCTCGGACTCCGCGGAGGAAACGAGGCTGCAGTGAAGTCTGTTGCGATCCCAAACTGACCGCCGAGTATTCAATACTGTACTAGGTCGAAGTCGGAGCTATCTGACGCGAAAAGCACAGCGTGAATGCTCTGCGCGAAGTGGGAGAGCGGCAGTGGACTCGGAGCCGCACATCGCGGAAAGTGATTTGGACTCGAGCTAGAGTCTGCTAGACTTGGAGCTTTGAGGGCCATCCATGGGAGGGGGGAGAATACAGCACGTCATGACTATCGGTTAGCTTCGTGAGTTGTGTGCGTGGACAATGGGAAGGGGAGTTAGAACGCAGCAGTGGTCACTAATAGCGAGCACTGCTCGCAACGAGTGGTGACTATCACAAGGGGAGGGGAGGGGACGTTCGTACATGTACACGTCGCCTGTTAGACTGGTGCTTTCCTTTCCTCGCTCGCTCGCAAGGCCCTCAGGTCGTTAAGTGCGAGGGATGAACTGAACTGATTCGCTGCACCAACTGTAGTGTACTGGAGTATGGCCTGTCTGCGTCGCCACGTGGCAGATATGATCGAGCACGCCGCAATCGGACGCGAGCGTTTAGCCTCATTCCCGTATAATCGATCGACTAATTGTCCTTGATTTGAGGAGAGCGGAGCAAGTGGGAGGCGGTCTGGGAAGCACAGCCAGTACGACAGGCAACATATTACGTCAGGACTGGACCACTGCCGGTTCTGCGTTAATTAGCTTTCATTAGGAGCTGTGGATCACCAATCCGGCTGAAAGAACGATAACAAGAGAATACTCAAACAGGTGGAGGAGAGGCGCGAGACCGTACACATAATGTCCTCATGTTCCCTCGCGAGTCTGTTACAAAACAGCACAAATGCAAGTTTTATGTATTTGCGGAACACGGCACAACTGAGAGCGCGTAATTGAAGAACGATACTTAGAACATATGGAAGAATTCAGGAATTGACAGGGTCGGTGTATTTGAAAACCCGGGCATTTTCAGCTCCGAGCTGCGTCCTAATGTATTCGAGAGCGCGCGCCTTCGCGGAACGAGGGCGGAAAGACAAGCTGG